CCTCCTCCAGAATATTCATTACCTTCTCCCCTCACAGCTGTCAGCATGGGTGTGTGTGGAGCCTTCCTTCTCTCACCTCCAGTCAGCCTGCTTCACCCTTATTCTCCTCAGTCAGACTGATATCTCCACCTCCTCTCATCTAGTGCCTCCCTTAAACGTTTACAACTGTATCTTCACTGTGTGAATAATTCAAAGGATGTTCATTTCCTACAACATTTGTAAATTTTATTTACTATCTGGTTTGCTAATGAATAGACTTTCTCCCAAAAAAAAAAGGAAATGCAATGGCATTGTAAAACCATTTTCACACTTTTTCAGACGTTTGTGAAAATACACAAGTCAATAGTATTGTGGCTTTTCCAAGCAGAAGCTTTTGTTTCTGCATTACAAAAAAAGTCTTCAAAAGCAGAAGTAAGCAAATGTCACATACAAAAACCTCTACTATCTCATTCTGTACTTGAGGAAATCAGCCTCCTGTTTATGTAAATGAGTGCATTAATTTACCAAATATTTTGAAATTAGAGTGACAGGCAGACAGGTGCTGCAATTCCAAATTCAATTATGTTTAACTCAGGGCAATTCCACCCCAGTAATTTTGCACAACTGCGCACACAAAAGTATTGTGGAAAAAAGTATCAATCAAATAAAAGCTGGGGAAAACAGGAAGAATTGTTGGTTCTGGGATTTCATTTTCTTTTGATAATCCCTAGACCAGCTCAAAATTGGTTTCATTGTGTAAAATAATGCCCCCTGAGCCATTTTCTTTCCCTTCTTAATTAACAAATTGCATTGTAATTCTTGTAAATGGATTCTCTAAATGGGTTGAAAATATATGACCTGTTGCAACATATGCATTCTAAATTGTATTTTGTGTGGATTCACAACCAGGGCCTCTTTTCAGTGGGCAAGGACATTGAAAGGTGAAACAAAAGTGCACACAATTATATGTACAGTACTTTAAAAATGAAATACGCCATTCATCTTTTGAAAAGGTTCTGTATTTTCAACAAAGAAGAGACTTGACTGTTTTAATAACTTGCAGTATAATCTGAGAACAATTATACTTACCCAGCAAGAGTTCATGGCATCCTTTGTTTAGGAATTAATCAAACTAAATGATAAAATAATCTGTCACACCATCCAAATAAGGAATATTGAAGATTTAAATCATTAACAAATAATGTGAGTCACTTTCCGTGTGTTTTCACAAGAATTATTCTGTATGTGACGGCACCTATTCATCCCAATAACTAAACACAGTACACACAGGTGTGGAAGCAGGACATACTCGTGGGTGAAGTCATGATGGATATGCTGCATGCTCTAGGGTTGGACTACATCATCTGCTGTTCCTCTCATGAATCATGCGAGTTGATCTTGATGCTAATTCTTCCTCAAGACTGTTTGCTGTTTAAGACGGATAGTAATGATCCTGTCATGGTAATGATAGTAATGATCTTATAATGGTAAAGGTCAGAATGATTAAACGAGATGGAGATCCTTGTCTGAACTGTTATCCTCATAATGTTGTGGACAATGACAGGCTGGCTTCAATCACCTGACCAACACTGAAGAGGTGATACAGTAGTTCAGGTGTCAGTGTTTAGGCCAGGAAGCAGAGTCTTTCAGGTGTGGTTCTATCTGCTGTCTGGACACAGAGGGCACATCCTCTGTGCAAACAGGCTGGGGGAAGCCGTGGAGAAAGAAGTAATCAACCGGGTGCCATTAGTTTGGAAAGTCAGTTTCAGAGCAACACTTTGTTTTGGGAAGACTTTTGTCTGGAAGTGTTTATGAGAAACTTTGAGAGAGTGAATTTGTGAGACTCTTATTGTGGAAGTTAGTAAGCTGCTTAGCTGCCTGGCTACAACTATTGAGGGACTGAGCAGAGTTTGCCAGAAGCTCGAAGAAGAGCACAGGTTTAAGTTTGTTGGGTTGTGGTTTGTGTTCTATTTTCCCACGCTCAAAAAAAGCACTGGCTGTTATACCATATGGCTATGTTTGTGTTTTACTGACCCCTCTATGTAAAATATCACTTGCTTGGGCACCCCAGCCTCTGAGTGTGTGACAATACATTCTTTATTTCTCTATACACTTGACTAAGCAAATCAGTATGAACATGAGGACAGCAAATGAGAATCACACTGGTGTTATGTGGCCAATAGAGCTAAGAATCTCATCAAGCCATTTCCTGAACCATCCGGTTGCGCTGTCTTGCACCGCATGGTTTGGTAGCTTGCTTGATTTAACCATAACTCTTTGTCTAACAATGTTTTCCAGTTCTCAGTCTTGTTTCGAATGGATGCCGACAGGCTGACGCATTATGTAAGAGACTTGTCTTTTCACATACCGTACCTCTTGGAAAACAATATTTTTTTATTATTGTGGTCCTGCAGCACAGATTGCTATCCACATTGTAAAAACAGAAAAATTAAATGTGATGTTTTTCTCTGGGAAAACTGCAACTTTCTAATACAAAACCATAGACTGGATATTATGTGTCAGACAAAGAATTCTCTCTAGCCTTCTTTTTTCTAACCACTTCATCCCATTCAGGATCACAGGGGAACTATAGCTTATCTCAACAAGTAAGAGGCATAAGGTAGGATACACCCTGGATGGGACACCAGCTCATTGCAGACACACAGACGCACACCGGGGCAAATTTTCCCAGAAGCCGATTAACCCACCAGTACAGTGTGTCTTTGGGTTGTGGGAGGAAGGCGGAAAACTTGGAAGAAACCCACACCAGCATGGGGAGGACATACAAACTCCACACAGACAGCACCCCAGGTCCAGAATTCAACCCAGGGCCACAGGGCTGTAAGGTAGCAATGCTCACCACTGTGCCACACTACAAAGAACTAGACTGATTCAATCTGCAACAGATTACTGATTGATTCCTGAAAATGTTCAATTTAGTACCATTGTTGTGAATCTGTTTTATTGTATTGTATATTGTTCATTGTGCATATCAATTTGTTTTGCGTCAAAATATTTCTTAATGTACGACATCTGAGAGGTGTGGATTTTATTTTCTTTTTTCTGTTGAACACCATCTGTTGCAGATTAGACTTGAATAACCTTGAATAAAGTTACAGCCCTATTTTGCAGAGCACAAAGTTTTGGATGCTTCCCCAGCCAGACCTCTCCAACAGGCCACCCTGGAGATGGTAAAAACTCTTATCTCACAAGCATTAAAATGAGTCTGTACACAAAACTGTGTCTAATCTATAACTCACATCAGTTTAGTGTACTCATCAGTCCTGGAAACACAGAACAACCCAGAAATCAATTACTGCATGTTTCATACAAAATACAATTCAAAAGGGAGAAGTACTTAGATAAGTACTTTTTTAACTTTTTAATTTGATTACTGTCAGTTTAATAGTTTTAGTTGATAAATAATTTTATCCAAGGAAGATTGCAGACCTTTGGTAGTTATAGGATGTTGATGGACCCTGCAACAGAAATCAATCACTTGTTTAATGTTTTAATTTCCTCTGGAAACAGAAGAGGAAGAACTCAAATTAAAGGGATTTACTGTATAATGAATGGACGTACAAAACAAAGGCAACAAATGCTAAAATTATCAAATAAATTAACATGAATTAAAAACATTAGTGGGTTATATAGTGCTTTAAATGGTGTGTGCAATGTCAAAGAATGATCTTCTGTAACTATTTAAGATCTCCAGTGACAGGATTTTCAGAGAACCAAAGTTTGACATGACCAGCACAACTCTTGGTTCACTGTCTAATAAAAAAATTTTAGACTTGCTCTTCTCTCCGTTTGGAGCACTTCTGTTAATTTTTCTACCACGCATCCGTAACTTATTTATACTGGTGAAGTCCATATTGTAATAACAATTTCTCTATCAAGTCAAGTTTCTATGGTATATACAGTATACAGTAGGTATACACTATTGTACTGGATATTGTAATGTGTAAGTAAGGTTTTTGGAAAATACAGTCATTGCTCTTTAATAAAGTCAAGCCTAAAAAATCCAGAAAGGGACATACTATGTAGTTTGCTAGTTAATGTGGAATTCAGGAATAGAGCCTGTCTTTTGCAATTTATTGCAATTTGTTGCAATGGATTTGAGTTTGGCAGGCAGCGTCTATAGATGGAACAGTCCCATGTTGACAGGCCTGTATCCAAAATGTTCTGGGTTACTAAAACCTTTTAACAAAAATGAGCATGTTATTCAATTTGTTGAACATTTCGCTGCTTGACTTCACCCATAATAGTATGAATCACTCCCTCATAAAATGGAACAAATAACCTAGTCATTCTGTTAAGGTATTGAAGGGACTGGAGGCTTTCTGTTCCTGCGTGGTTTATGCAGGGCTGTTGAAATGCAGGTGCTCAAGACAAATCATTAAAGCAGAAAGGAATCACCGAAGGTTGAGTCCTTATGTGAACCTATCCTTTTCCATCCGGATCTCTCATATCTTTATATCATTTATTAAAAATCTGCCATAAACACAAACATACAACAACACAAATCTTTTTGGTAACACATACACTATACAATATATGCATTACTTTTTGTTAAGAAGCTAAAGTTAAAAAAATATATACTTTTTTAATGTTCAAAAAATTTCAATCAAACTATACTTTCTGCATGAACACATTTTTCCAACAAGTGTTTCATGTCCATGGTGCGAATTACGGGGGACCCAGGGGGGGCTTAGCACCCCTGAATATGGCCCGAGCTCCCCTGAAGAGACCATCTGAGAAATTTTGGGGGGGTCTCTAAAATATGGAAACTGTCCATTTATAAAATTTCCTATTTATGTGTCACTTTTTTCCCGGTATAGACTACATTTGCGTTTCTGTTTTGAGCGTGTTGTTGACATAGAAATATCTAAGCAATTTAATACTATTACCGATCAAACCACGGAGGCGCTGTTACAAAAGTAGACAACGTTTCTTTTCACGTGATAAACGGACAAGCTAACAAGTCACTCTTGGTTACGTTTTCTATAAAAAAAAAGGCGCGCAGTTAAGTTGCAGAGAACATTTCCAATGACATTCAGTTTTCTACAGTATATATGTTACTGAAAAGCGACGATTATACCCAAGAGAAAACAGGGAACTTTACTTGCTAATTGTGGATTCACAAAACAACCCAAATTGGCGATCTGACTGTTGCTGCAAGCGGTTGCCCTGCTGACAGTTCAGCTGCTGACCCGTCTGCCTGGCCTGCCCCTCACCACCAGCAGTGCTAGCTCTCCAGAGGAAGAGGCTGGTCCCCCTGTGACCCCAGTCGGCACCGATCTACCGGCTAACTGGACCAGCCAGCAGTGGACAGAGTGGGAAAAACGTCCACCCCGTGGCTTTTCGTTAAGAATGGAAACTTGGGATGCACCGTGTGCAGAGATGCAAAGTCTTCTGCTGTCAGAAAAAGCACTTGGCATGCATTTATCTGAGGAGTGGATTAATGGAGATGTAAGTAGCCCTTTGCAGAACCAGCTGCGGGAAAAGAAAATATATAAACACCGTGAGTGCTTATCACATAAAAGGGCCGTTCATATTGAAGAGTCGACGCAAAAATAAATTCTCCCAAACAAGGTACTTGAAATTAATGCTCATTTAATTCAAGAAACCGCAGTTTAATTCAGATCTGCGTATATGGTGGCCAAGGAAAGACTATCTTATAAAAAGTTCATTATTTTAATAATGTTACAGTAGCTTAATGGTGCCAAAGTAGGCACTGTACATAAGTCGGACCATTCCTGTGCTGAAATTATAGGTCATATTGCAAAGAAAAAGCAGAACAAGCTTGTGTCGGGTATAAAAGAACTTAAGTCACGAATTAGCCTCACTATTGATGAAAGCACAGTACATGCGTGCTTATCTCATCCTACTTCAGATGGGGAGCTGCGTCAGCATGCGTAGGCTGCAAAGGAACAAGTAATTTTATAAACAAGTAAGTTTATTCCATGCTGAAAAAAAGAAGAAAGAAAATAACGTTTCGGCCTTGGAGCCTTCTTCAGGTGTGTTCAGCTGTCACCTGAAGAAGGCTCCACGGCCGAAACGTTGCGTTTTCTTTCGTCTTTTTTTCAGCATGGAATAAACCTATTACAGTGTACTTGTTCCTTATGTCATCCTATACATGAGATGCGATGTGAGTGGGAAAGTGGACGTGAATTGTAGTTTTGGACATCACAGAGCTGACGGATGGCACAGACGCGGAATCAATTTACAGTTGCCTGAGAGGGAGCCTTACTAACGTGGGTTTGGATGAGTTTTTGAAGAAATCTCTTTCACACGTGATGCGTCCCCCCAACCAGGGGTGAGCTCCCCCTAATGCCAAGATATAATTCGCACCCTGTTCAAGGCCATTGTATTTGTTCCATTTATTCAGAACACAGGTTTATATATGTGAAATATATATGAAAAATCATATAGGCATCATTTTTAGTAACTGAGTTAATCTCTCTTTCCCATACATTACAGAGGCACTGTTGTCTGAAATCGGACATCATGCCGAATCATTGCAAGGCATTTATAGATTACATTAACAAGAAATTGAAAATGTTTAATAATCCACAGACATGAAAAATAAAAAAGCAAATGGGAAAATACAGATACACAACAGTACAAAACACACAATTCATAACTGATGAAGACTCAGACCATAAAAATTAAATAATATAATACATTATACCTTCACAAGTTCAATTAACATTTACAAAGAGCAACAAATAAAATGATTAATATTTTTCTAAATACTGTTTTCTAAATACTCAAAGCAAAATCATGTATACTGGACCTGCAAAATAATTCTGTGCACCATATTTCATTACTTTAGACTTTAAACAGCTTAGAATTGTTATTGCAACCCTAGCTCCTTCTCATTTCTGAAATGAAGCTGGAGCTTTAAATGGCTTTAAAAAACCCCGAGCTTTTTTGACTGTAATGCATAGGCTCTTAACATTGATGTTGCCTCTAATCCCATCGTCTTAAACCCTTTGGAATCCCTCTTCTTGTCTAAATCCGAAATGTAGCCTGAGGCCTGTCTAAATTCTTCTCTTCCCTAAAAGATTTTTCATCCTCAGTGCTAATCCTAGACCCATGAGGTGTCCCTGAGGTACCAGGATACTGCCTGGAGAGAAACACTTCTGCTCAAGTCTAGTAGTGAAATGAATACTTCACACGCCATGGATCTGGTCTGAGAGTGCTTCTGGTGGATGTGTGTTGGTTGCACATTCTGCTATTACCCTTACGATAGTGGCAGTATTTATAGTCACACAATCATGTACTGTGCCTAAGTGTTATTGTATGTCAGACTGGAAGCCCCTGTTGCATGGGTCTTGAGAGCTCCCCCAGCCAGGAGCCAGGAGTTCGTGACGCCACCAGTCGCGACGTCCAATAAAGACGTCGAACGTCCAAACGTTCCCACAATTCCGCTCTTCGGCCCGTAACCGCCATATTTGAAAAGACTGTAGACTGGGAATTGTACGTTTTCCGTGTGCCGCACTGGGTAAGGTGTTCATTGATCTTTAGAAAAAGTGGGATTTGCTCTTTTATTTTGCAAAGGAAATTTCGTCTTTTCTCTTTTTGGGTTTTTACAAGGTGGAACTTTTAAGTTGCACTGTTGTAAATAAAGACGAAGGATCCCTCATGGCTTGTACTGCAGTCCTCGGCGGTGTTTGTTACAGTGACTGCTTTAGCGTTAAAAATATTTTTGCGTTTTGGCAAATTGATATGATCCTGTAAATGTCCTTCAGTGGCGCTTGCGTGCAGAGTAAGTTTAGATTACAGCTTTAAACCTCACAGCCTTTTAAAGGGATACAATGTTGCCAGAAGGCATCCGCGACTGAGCTCGAAACTGTAAACAATGTGCATCAGTGTGATACATTATATCTGCTTATTCTCTCCGTGTCTGGAAATTCCCTGTGTGGAAGCAGAAAGATTGCAAGAATTGTTACATTCCTCCGGAATGCCATTTTCCTGCACAAATATGCTGTATAAATCCATGACAGTCTGTTCAGTTTCTTGCCTCGTGTAGGTTAAAAATATCTCCTATGGAACTTTAATTAGAGGTTGCCACACGACTGTTTGTTTCTGATCTGCGTTATTTTTTTAAGTGTTAGCAGTTTCCTCGGGGAAAACACAGGGCGATATGTCGAGGGTGATTCTTGGATTGAAAGGCACTGATCGTTTTTTCTCCGTTAGTTCGTATGCGTCTTTGTGTTTTAAACATTAAGATCTGCAGGGGAAAAATCTTTGAAGAGTAAATGCAAGGGCAAAGCGGATACATTGAGATTGTTTTTTTTATGTGCTGAAAGTGCTGTTTTTACACTATATAATTGTTAGTATACATTTTGTCAATTGGCAAGTTTTTAAACTAAGCCTTTTCATTCCCATGTGCTCCGTTTAATTGGATTGACTAGTTCTGTGCTTTTGACTAACCTTATTGATTTATCTATTGCTTGAGATAGGTATATGCACACGCTTCTGATGTAGAAATGTTAACACTCGTGACAAACTGCATATGATTACATAATTAAAAATGTGACCGTTAAGATGTACAGTTAAGTGATCTCACAATATTGCAATTATGGAAATTGTGGTTTATTGCATTGAAATAATTTTGAAGATGGCATTACTGCTGTAGCTAAAATTAAATTTGTTCTGCAACTCTTTTTAAACTTTTGAGATATCATTCATTTTTTGTTGTTTTTTTGGTCATATTTTTGTTTATGTAGAAGAATGAGAGGGGAAAAAACACAGGAGCACAATTAACAAGGCAGAGTAAGTGCATACTGTGTTCTGACAATAGGATTTTAAATTGCTTCCAGCATATTAGTGGAGCCACTTCATCCAGTACTGAAGTGAAGTTCTCGGTTTAGGTGAGACATAGCAGCCATTCTGCACATAAAAGATTGGGTAGAGAGTGAGAAACTAGTTCACCAATTGAAGTAAAGGGGATCTTGACTTAGGCCAGATTTTGGACACCCAGAATATAATAATATAACAAACTCCCCTACTGCTTATTAACAGTGCACTGGGATCTGGGGTTTTTCAGGTTTAATGTTTCATCCAAACGATAGCACTCTTACAGTACAGTAATTTCTTTCACCATACTGGGGCATTGGTTTAACAGTTCTGGTCCAGAGGAAAAATGGTTTCACATTCCAGTATCAACTGGGTCTAGACTGAGCTATTGAGATCTGATGAGATTAAACTAGAATATTATAACAGTACCAACATTTTAGTACAGTAAATCTTCCTGTGCCACTGAAAACATCTAAATTCGATTCATGAAAATATTACTTGTTGATGCAATCAAGATCTTATTGAACATTAACAATAACTGAACCACAGAAAGAAGTTGAAAAAGGGCAGATTTCATTTACTAGATTCCCCAGTTACACACCTTTTCAAATGATGTTTCTGTGTTCATCTGAATAATATTGCTCCCTAACCTGTTAACAGCATCCACCAGGATTCCAAGCAGACTTCTTTGGAGAAGTCATTGCTGAAGGCTGTAATTCATAACTTTTCATTTTGATGCAAATGTAATCCCTCAACTCATTGCAGGCTAAATTGAAGGTAGTCATCTGTTTTGCCTGACATCCTGTTTTCAGGCATTCTCAGCATGGTCTTAATAAAAGAAAAAAATTGAATTAATGGAAGATTTGTTTCTCTCCTGCCTTCATTGCCAGCTGTTTGATGCATTTAGATAGCCCAAAAGCCAGTTCCATGCTTAAGTTCTTTAATATTTCATTTTTGTTCTTGTCTTTTGCAGATCAATTGTTAGCATCACCAGGAGACATCAGCATGCATTTGTTCTGAAAGGACCAGCTGAACAGTTAGGTTTTTGTTTTCTTACACATATGCCATCTTCTGACATGGTGCCACTTAAAAATCAAGAGCCAGTTTTTCAAAATGAAGGACATATCCCTTGGGTCTGCCCATTTTGCCTGGGCTGCTAGGTTGGATTTTCAGTTGCACATGCAGCTGGTGTTATTTAGCACTGAATTTATCCATGTGGTGAATAGATTCAACTGAATAACACGGAGGTCAAATCAACAAATACTGCTAAGAGCAACTATTGACATAACTCCCCTTTATTTATATTTTCATCTTTACTTTTATGTTTATTCATTATACCTCAATTTTTACATCTTTTGTAAGGTACATTGAAACACAGAAGACACCCATAGTGAGTTAGTTTGATTAAAGGTTTTCTAACCTTGAAGTATTTCAGACAGAGTAGGTAGACAATTGATGTAGTATTGTAATTCCTCATACTGTACCTGCATGTACAAATCTGATGTACCTGCAGGCTGTGGATGTCTTGCAGACTGTGAGACCTGATATGAATGTTGAGGGCATCTGATCTGATGCCCTGCAGGATGTGTAGAAACTTTACAGAATAGTTGTAGTATTATAAGAGTATTTTTAGACCTGTAGTTCCCTTCTGAAGATGTAAACTGAAGAGTGCAAATGCGCTTAAAATGGTGTTTATTGCAGCAGAGTACAGGTTAGGAATGGTCAAGAGGCATAATTGCCTCGAGTTTGACCCCTGCCTTCCATGAGAGCAGAGTTACACATGATGTTCAAGTCTGGTTCGTGCCACTGTACCTTTCAGTCAGAGGACACACCAGGCTCTTGTCAACTAAACACTGAGATTGTTTTTTCTTCATAATTTTTGTTCCTTTCTGAGAGCCACTGTCTTAAACTGGCTGATGGTGTTTATACACCCTCAGTTACATCTGTTGTTTTTTGTTTTTAGAAATATTACCTTTACAGCAATTTGTCTTTGCATAGCAGTCTGAGAATAACAAAAATCATTTTGCAGGTTTTAAAACTGTTTTTAAGAGTCTTGCCTTCACTGAACAATGACTGGAAACCACAATGGTGCTGCTATCCTCAAAGGTACCGTTTTAATTAGATGCTGCCTGCACCCTGTAATGTGTCAGAAACATTTACATTTATGAAACTGGAGGGTTTATAAGTATTAGCATTTTAGATTTGATGGACATTTTCAACGAGTAGAGAAAAACATTTATAATTAGCTTGTTGAAATGCTCCACAGTGTAAAAAAAAAAAGGTTAAGCATTTTTAATTTAATTTATTTTAGAAATTAAATGTGAACTTGTCATACGTTCATGGGTCACTTGAGTATGTATACAACATTACAGCAAACGAACTACATTATTTATTCATTAACCAGATTTAATAGCCAAACATATTTACTTTAATGTTTACAGCTCCACACAGAGTAATCTTTCAGCTCATAAACAGCTTAGCTTGTTAGTGCAATAAGCTTACTGACTATGACATTCACTTTAAAAATGTTAATTTAGAGTAGTTTTAGCAGGAAGCATTTTTTAATTTTTTATTTATTTCATGCAGTGTGCCTGCCTGACAGTGCTTAATGCTATTTTTTTAGATGTTGTTGCCTTTGTTGACGTATGGTCATCCAGTAAGAATGAAAATTATTCCAAAACGTTTGCTCTGCAGTTAATGGATATGGGAGCAGTGGTAAGTGATTTTTTTTTCTTTGGTTAAAGGATTTTTACAGTATTTTTTTACCATTTTTAAAGTAAGAAAAAATAAGGATTCAAGTCAATATTAATTTGATTTAAACTTTAGTTCAATATTTAATATAATGGAAACATTATTAAAATTCACCCACCAGTTATGCCCCAGTGTACCTTAAAGGAAGGCTCATTTTGATATTTACATATTAAATACCCTTAAAGTAGTGGAGCAAAACACTTTTAGTCTAAAGTGGTTAGTGTTCCTATCAATTTCTTTATTTCACTGAACCCTTAATTGAACTACCACGTTGCTTGATTGAAAAACTCGCTCAAAAAGACGATCTCCACCTGAAAAAGGTCACTTTTCTATGTGAAGCCTTGGCCAACACTTGGCCAGCTCTGTCCTGCTAGAGTATATAAGGATTCCCAGTCACAGTGTGCAGTGAGGTCTGTATGGCCAGACCTGCTTTCTGAAAGATGGCAAAAATGAATTCTGTTCTGAAGTCATTTAAGGATTCAGTTGTGTAAAAGCCTCTGGGCCTCCAGGGGCAGTGTAGGGAACTCCTTGCCGAAAGAATGTACCTTAAATTGCTTGTTTAAACCTATTATCCAGCATCTCATCTCCTTTTGCAATAGTGTAAGAAAGCCCTGCAAATACATCTATCCTGATTTGCTTAAATATTATTATTAATAATAATATTCAGGGTTATAGGGTTATTTTGGATTTAGGATTTTATCAAATTAATTGCATTCAACAAAAGTTTCTTGCTCACTGGCCACACAAAGAATTCATACCAGTCCCCAAGGTTAGCTTAACAATTGACTTTAATAGCTGAATGTTTTCTTAAGGTACTTTGCTTGAGCATTTCATCATGCCCTATAAAAACGTTTGTTTTTGGTTTTTTAATCAAATGTTTATGAAATGATGTGAAATCGTCCAGACTTATGCTTATGACCAATGTATTATGTGAAATTAAGTTTCACTTTAATTCCGATTTAGATGTTCTTTTTCAATACTTTTTCACTTGAGTTTCGGTGAACATTAAAAAATTAAAAAAAAAAGTATTTCCTTGCCATAGTACTATTAAAATCTCCTAACTATATTGTTTTGCCATTACAGGTAACAAAAACCTTTAACAAACAAGTAACGCATGTAGTTTTCAAAGATGGTCATCAGAAGACATGGCAAAAAGCGAAAAAGACTGGTGTGAAGCTTGTTTCAGTTCTTTGGGTGGAGAGGTAAATCTGGCAAAATATTAATGGCACAATGAGAATGCCAATAATTGGCATGGAAGAACTTCAGAAAAGTTATTAAAAGAAGAAACTAAGATCAAAAACTTGTCTTTTGTTTTTAAATGTTGAAGCATAAAGCAAAAGAAGTCCAACAAATCCACTTGCAGAGCACACATGCATATGCACAGATTATTGGCCACCTGTGTCTTTTTGGGTTATAGTTGATCATTAATAGTAAATAATATTTTGAGTTGTAACGATACATTTACTCCCTTCAGATCTGTAAAATGAAAGCATGCGAGTGTATGAGTGACGATTTCTCGAACTGGTTTATTTTTGTACGTGGCTCTTGGGGGTCACAATGCACCAGTCACAATACGTTAATGCAATAAAAATAATATTTTTAAAAAATTTATGTCTTTAATCTTTTTGTAAAAATACTATCTGTAAAGTGACTAGATTAAGCATTATTTTAATTGGCTTTAAATGCCTTTATGACCTGAGGCAGAAACTCACACCTACACTTACAGTTTTTGAAACAGTTCTCAAGTAGATCATCATTACCCGGGTGGTGAGAAGAGAACTGGGTTAGAAGATTCAAATCTCAAACAATACCTGGATTTTCACTACCTACCAAATTTAAATGGAAGAAACACAAGGAATGTTCATACATAAAGTACTGTATATTTACACTTGTAACTTGCAAATTCAGATATGTACCATTTCATAAGTGCTTTATAAATGTGAAATTCATTGCAGGTGATTTACAGCTTTATTAAATGCAGTGCAAAATGAAGGACATGTGACAATTGGTAGCAGTTTCCATGCATTTCCACCTGTAAACACAAGGTGGCCCTGATTGCATAATAATATTAGGTTTCAAATGGGATGAGGTTTTTGGCCCTTTTGAGCCTGTTTTGTAGTAACTAATAGATCCAAAGATCTTATGCCACTGTTTCTTGAAAGAAGCCAGGGTTTTGCCTTCATCCTTGGATATGTAGCTTGTTCCACACACCCATAATCCTTTGACAAAAGGTTATTTTTTGTATGGAATAAATTAATGTATTTTATTGTACTTTAGATTCATTTAGGTAAACATCTAAAAAAGCCAATTATTTTTAAATTTCGACAGGGAAAATCATAAATATTTTTACAGTTTTAAAATACTTTACATTTAATTAAAGGTCTTTTTTTTTTGCAGCTGTAAAGAAAGTGGTCAACGTGCTGATGAGAGTTTGTACCCTGCTGTGTGGGATGAGTTCAACAAAAGAACGGTAAATATCCTGTAAGAAATATGAGTATTATTTTAATATTCTGCATTATTTTTCTTCTAGTTCAAGCCTTTTTTGGTACACTTCTAAGTATGACCAAATTAAATTATCTAATGAAAAAATTAGATAATTTTGACCCATTTTTAATTTGCCTTGTGCTGCCAAGAACTCGTGTATGCCGTGTAGAAAGACTGGAGTTTGAAATATAAAAAGACTGTGTATTGTCATCAAGCACTTGCAGGAGTCCAACAGCAAGACAAGCAGAGTGCCATAAGATATATTATCCAGGGCTTTTACGGGAAGTATAAGACATTTTGTTCTCTTAATTATTCTGCAGAACATTGTTGGAGTTTCTAAAGTGACCTCTACATGGGGAAAAAAAGTTTTGAACAGATCTTTGAGCAAGACAAAATATTGAGATAAATGATGAGATTGTGCCAGAAGAACTTGCACAAATTGATTTGCATCTTAAGAACTAAATTTCTTTGTAAAATGCTTTCCTTTGCTTAAAATCTAGGTAGCACTAAATAAGAATATGCTTTTTTTCCTAACATACTTCTGTACTGCTTCACTGAAAAGATATTTTTGTTATACAAATGTTCAATGAGTGTGGAAATAAGAAAACAAGTTGCATGCAAAGCTGACTGTGCTGTATGAGGGACATTCTTCATTTCTCAAGATTGCAATGTTTCTCTTTTTTGCTTTTGAAGCATCGATGCATGCAACCGACGGACAAAAAAGTCAGGACCCCTCAAAATGACAAGCGAATGCAGAGGAAGCTCGACAGAATGATAAAAGACCTGAATCTTCCTAAATCGCCTATTGGTAATGCAGTAATCTGTCAGAAACCAGCCTAACCATGGAGTGGTTGTGCATCTTTAATAAAGCTTTTTTGTGTTTAACTTGTGTGTGTTGCAGCCACTAGTTTTCCGTCTGTGATCTTTGATGAAGAAGGCACGCTTGTGTACAACCCTACACTTGTGAAGAGGGCAGATTCCATGGCAAAACGGCTAGACGAGATGAAACAAAAAAGAGAGAACCTATCCCCCACTGGTAATTTTCACGTTTAGATGTTCCATATTGGACATCGCCATAATAGACCAAGATGATGCAATCAGTTTTTACTAAAGCTGTGAAAGGATGCTATGTTTCCATCTTTGTTTCATTGTTAACTATATGAGACTGATGAGCCGGGTATTAAATCCTACCTACCTGTTTTCGTTTCGTTTCTGGATTGTAATACTATTGATCAATTGTTAAATTTGTTTTACTACACTTTTCATGTGTGTGCATAATGTCTATATATTATTTTTGAATCTTAGCTGGGGGCAAGGAGTATTGCTATTTTGTATGTATGTAAATGTTTTTCCAGGTGTTTATCATTCCTTGACTTTGTGTTTCTCCATACCCATGTTCTGCAGCACAACTAACCACAGTGTTCTCTTAGCCTCACAGATGATCGAGTCCGGCTCATCACAGTCTTCCCATAGACCGTCCATTGGAAATTCTCCATCAGGTTCTTTTTTCCAAAACCTAGGTAATTATAAAAGATTAAGTGTTTTCTTTGCTACTGTGTTATTTATGCTGCACTATTGTTAGGTTGTGAGGGTTTGATGTCAAGGTGATGTACTGTAGTGGCCATTTTCCATTATCATTTATATTATTGGATAATATATTTCTGTATATCCTTACAGTATTACCCAGACGTGCTACTGCAAACTTTTAAAGCATCTGAAGCAGAATTACGTGCAAGCATTACAATAATTGTTGACATCTTGACAATTGTGTGTGAATCAGTAAGCTGGTAGCCACTTCTTTATGGAAACAAACTAACAAAGGTCATTTCAAATTCACTTAACTGAGTATTATATAGCCTGTGTTGAACATAATCACATTTTACAGTGGTATATAAATGTAATAATCCATTGAAGTTACGTTCTGGGTTCATCAGATTAAGAAAAATAATTAAAAGTTGCTTATTCAAAATGTCTAGGTTTGTAAATATGAGTCTCATCGATTGATTACCCATATTCTTTTCCCTGTTTGTTTACAGAGGAAGAAAGTGCTGATTTGAATTCTTCTTTTGGTGACCTGTTTGGTGGTTCTTTAAAAAAGAATGAGAAAGAATTGCCAAAAGAGACACCCACTTCTAATGCGGGCATTGAAAGTAATGATGAATCACAGGAGAGAAATATTACTTGTTCACCTCCAATAAAGAAGCCTAAAAGACACTCGGCCAGAGTAAAGTCGCAGCCAAAAAGTACAGCCTTTTCAAACAAGGATACATGTGATGGAAAGCCCAGTGAAGAAGACAAAAGGCAGAAATCGATTGAAGAAAGCAACCGTAGAGTATCTCTGAACATGGAAGAAAACGACAATGGTAGCAAATTGAACTCTGTAGTGAATTGTTCTACTGCTGTAGATGTTTGCACAAATAAGCTTACATGCAAAAAAGAAACGACAGATAACAATATATCTGTAGTATCACCCCGGGAATACTCTACATTCGTGAAAACCTCCGGCAAACAAAAAAAGGGATCTATCAATTCTGTCATGAAGACTCCAAGCAAATCTTTAGGTTGCTCACCATCCAAGGATGAACTGGAGTATGAGGACTATTTCTATTCTGCTAATGTTCGGAAACATGACCCCTGCATAAGACGGTCTTCCTTAGGAAATTTGTCATCTCGGTCGATTTCTTTTCCTCAGTTTGTACTGGAGCAGCCCCCGGGGAAGAGAAAGAGATCAGACGAGGAAAATACAACAGGTACAATAAACAGCAAGAAAAGGTGTAGTCTTAGCATTGATTAAGGTTCCAACAAAAGAGTTCTTGTGGAAACCTTCAGAATCCCACTGTGAGCAGAAAATACCCACCTTCTGACAGAAATCACTTGAGAGATTATTGAATGCCTTTGTAATGTGTCTAGTCCTCGAGCAACAATCTGTAGGATTTTGTAGATCTCTTTAATTCATCAACAGCTTCAGACTGGACAGGTAGGTTAAATTGGTTGACTCAGGCTTTAATGAAACTAAATTAACCTGTTCCTGAGGTCTTGTGCTGCTGAAGATTTAAGGTGATTTATTAACCTATTAGATTGTCGCTCTCAAAGAGCAGTAATGCTCACTGTTGAAGCACTGTTTGCTTCTTTGAAGTATGTCCCCACTGCCAATTACGCCAACTGTTCCCAGTATCCACAAATTGGCAGTGGTTTTCAGAACACACGCATATAAAAGTAATTAAGAATATAAACTGAAATAAGGAATTCATGGAGAAAGTGTTCTGTACAATGGAATAAGAAAATGAAAAAAGTAGTAAATGAAGATGTAACTTAACAGTAATATTGAGCCATGTACAGCACTAATTATGTTTTGTGTGCTCTCTCACTGTTTTTTGTTAAATCTAGATATGTTTGAATTGCCAATTGTTTAATCATTACTCTCTCTGGTGAAAATGGGACACAGAAATGCTCATTCAGTTCTCCCACCTGCTGAGACATCTGTAATTAGACATGCTGTGAGCTCCACAGTGCCTGATAGGAGAGTTGGTGCTTATTGGAGGAGGTGCAAGTCTGTTGCCTATATCACTGCAGTTGCATCCAATCCCATCCGGTCGGAAGAACACTGGAGTCCCCCTGTGTGACGAATTCCAGCCCTATGTCTGGCACTGCTGTCTCGCTTGTGCACTAGCACTTGGGGAATAGTTGGTCTAATTTCTTAATTTATACTCATACAGTTAGAATAAGATAAGATCACTTAGCCATATACAATTTCTTGCATCAGAATTTGTCTCCTAATTGCCAGGGCTATATGCTTGTGTAGCCTGCATGACTTGTTGGAAGTCTTTTATAACTTCTCAGAATTAGTTATGCCATTAATACTTGAATACATTTGTGAGTTTTTTTTATTCATCCAGTTTTTAACTTTATAGTTCAGGATTTTTCTTTTCTAATTAACTTTCCTATTATAGTGAGCAAACCTGTTTCTGAAAAAGACAGTAATCCAGAAATACTTCTCAGGAAACTTGTATGAATTCATGCTTTTATTTTTTTTATCATAGATGAGCTGTGAAAGATGTGTAAAAATGCACATTTATTTGACAATTCCCTTTTAATCTTGATGTTTACTCTTTAATATAATGCTAATAAATGTTATTTCTTTGTGAATGTTTTTCTCTTTTGCATCCCTCAGAAAAAAAATCAAAATATAAATATTGATTAAAGTCTCCTGAGATAGCAGGTGAATCAAAAGGAAAAAATGAAAAAGTAGCAAACAGATAGTGGTACAATATTTTAGTTAAATTAAGTTTGAGGGAGTTGTGACAGTCTCACATTTCCAGCGAAGGAGAAATCACAGGAGGACTGCATCACAGAACAAATTCAGTCATTGGAATCTTGATTTAAAAAGCTGGTTATTCCTTTGAATTGGTCCTGCTGACATTGTTGAAGGTTCTGTTTTGTAACTTCTGAACAAAAGAGAGTAAAAAGACCGGCTGGAATAAAAAAGGCACTTAGTGTGTTAGTTCTCACATTGGCACCACTGTCTGCTGGTATGAGAAATGTATAGTAGTACAAATCTGGGCTTATTGCCAATTTTAGACGTTAAACAGTTTCTGCTTTTTATCAAAATTTTATATATGTATACGTTTTAAATAATTCTCTGGTATTTGAACTATGCTGTTCTTATCAGTGTGATCTGCCATGTAAAAATGTATGTTGCAAATATAACTCAAATGTGCCCAAATACAGTTAAAACCTGCACTTGAGAGTGAGCTGAGGTATCATGTGCACTGTCTGCAGGATGGCGTATGCATGTATGCCACAGTTTCAGTGCACCTGTTATTTTTTTACGTTAGGTTTTGGGGTAACATGTTTTTTTTTTCCACTAATGCACTTTTTTTAAATGGCCTTGGTTTTAGGGTGTGGAAGTAAAAGTTCAGCTGGTGATCAAAGTGTCAACAGTTTTGAAATGTATAAGAACCAGACACACAGATGCAATGAGAAGAAATTGAAAATGGAACAAAAGATAAAGGTAACCATTTTAAGTCCTATGTTTGTTGATACAGTTGGGTGTTGCTCTTATTATCGATAGGTACTGTGTTTTTTCTCCCCAAGTCTTTTTTGTTAACTTTTTGTGTCGCAGTTAAAGTTGAAGAAGTGCTCTTCAAGAATGGAATTTTTCAGTATAATTTGGTTTTACAAATGTGTAAGCCTGCCTACAATGCCATTTGAGAGTTTGAGGTTTCATGGCTTTTCCTTCAGGTAATTCAATCTCTTGTGTATTTTGTTAGTTTGATTGTTACATGACAAATTATGTAGCTAAAATGTGCTGTAGAAAGACTAAGAAAAATAACCGAATGACTCACAGCTCAGGCTTGTTTATATACATGCATGTTTTTTATCTAAATGAAACCAATGCAGACTGTAGTTTGGAATGTGTAAACATAAAATGGCATGAAAATATCTACACAGGGAATATGAATCAGAATAAAAGTGATAGCCTAACCGGAAAACATGATCTTTTACTCGCAGTAAAAATTGAAATAGGTTTCATTAAATTTCCGATTCCTCTTGCCTGCCTTTTTTTCCTCTTCATAAGTGGTCAATAAATAAAATTTAACAACCAGTAGATGTGTCCTGCCGTTTCTCATGGATATTATAAAGTTTCAAAGGAAGTGAAAAAACTTAAACAGCTTAGACTACAGACAAATAGACTGTTGCTTTGAGAGTGCACACCTGCCTTAGTTAGTGCTACATTAGTGCTCTGATTTGTTTTGGAAGCTGTACTCATGTGAATAACTATTATGGCAATGAATTGTATACTATTATTTAAAATTTGAAAATCATTCTACATTTATCATAAATGTTGAACATCTCTGACCACACTTTAAATGACAATCCATTTTCTGTTAAATGCACAAGAGGTTTTGGGTTATCAGTACTCCTATGAGACAGCTTGCTCTCCCAAGTCATCACATATTGGGAAGTTGTCTATTGTTATTGGGATGTTTTATTTTAATTGTTGTATGCTGTTTAACAGATAAGCTATGAAAACAAGATACAAAATGCAAATGTTAAATGTTGACTAGATGGTGTTGACTGCAAACCAAGTGCAAATTGCAAAACATTTTTGTTGAATTTTGTTTTTTGAATAATTTGTAGTTTGTCATTTTGCAGTTGTCATTTCTTGCCTTCAATTAAAGCCTCAAATGGCCATATAGTGTGTGATGTGTGATGCACATTAGCTGGCTAGAAAGTGCAGTCTGTCTTCCTTTCTGTGAGCTGTAGGAGATGTTAAGCAGCTGCATTGTTCTGCTATTTAACCACTAAAGCGCACCTGGCCATGTAGCAGAAGCTGTGCCCTCTTTGGTGTTCTGTCAGGCTGAACAGAACTTGAGCTCCTTCTTTGCCGCAAATGGCTTTCATCAGTCTCTGTCCGTTGTTCAGGAAGTAACTTTCATTTTCATATCTCATAACAAAACATGTTAATTTGAAGCACATGAAAAAACAAGACCTCTGAAAAAGTGTTGCATTATCAGCCTTACAACAGCAGCTGAAAATAACCGGCGCAGATACAGTATATGCACGAGCAGGTGTCCCAACAAGAGTGATAAAACAACAATTAAATCTAAGGTTTGGATTTGAAATGGGATGAATGAGAAGTGAGAGAAACTGCAGTGGCGTCAGTCAGCCATGGGATTATCCAGGATGAGGGCAAAGCCTCACATGGCGGTAGGGTGCAGTTTTATTGGAAACAGGAATGAAGAAGCAAACTAGCTTGGCTTTTAATTGTTGCTTCTTGTTAAAAAAATCGCAGCGAAGCAGGAGACATATAAATGTCTGAGGATGATGCAGATAAATATACACATACATAGGCAGAAGTTATGCAAAACGTTCCCATGTGCAATGAAGAAAAAAGCCTTAGGTGCACTCTGAAGATTTACTGTTCAGAATTCTCAGGTTCCAAGTGTTCACAGTGTCATTATTATAATCCGCTAGTTATAGTATTCAAAGTGCTTCAAATGAACTCAGACATGGGCATTATCCAGCAGTGTTTGTGTTATTTTATTGTTCAGTTAATTATATATTTTTATTAAAGCATTAGGTTCTAATGTTTGGTGGCGGCTGTGGTTCTGAAGAAGAACTGGTAGGCGATACGGTGCAATGGAAGCCTATTTATTTTTCTATACAGTATGGCACATTGGGATTGTGAAGCTTTGTTTTTACAGTTCAGAGGTTAGATTACATTCAGCTGGGTCAATTAACATTAACGAACCAGTACAGTTCTTGATAAAAGGCTGAGCTGGAGGATTTTATCTGATTAGCAATGGAAACATTTTCACAATTATTTCAGATTGAGCGTTCTACCAATTCCATCTTTTCCTAGAAGTTCAGTCTTCTTTTTAATTTTTTATTGTAATTAAGATAATTGCTGTTCATTTCCCTTGAAAATGTAATTGCATCTATCTCCTCTCCCCCCCTGGTAGGGGGGGAAAATCTGGTATGTTCTGTCATTCTCGATCACAGCAGTCAGATTCCTTTAAACCACTTATGAGCATGTCTGTGTGCATTACCACTTACAAAGTGGGCCCTGGATCTGAAGTTATAACATGACAGGGCCTAAGAGAAGTGGCATCATTAAGTGCGATCACAAGGAAGGAGGTGATAATGAAAATAAGTTGGTTTTGCTTAAAAGGCAGAAAACTAAATTCACAGCAGTTTAAGATGGTTAACATTAGAAAGTTAGTCTGTAATCAGCATTAGATGTAAACAATATTTATATTTAAAATTTCTATAATCTATTAGAACCGCTATTCAAACATGTTACATGTATATCTAATGAAACGTGAAAGAAAATATTTCCTTTTAAAGAACTGTTTCTATTGCAAAGATCTAACGTATGAGAACAAAAATTGATTGATGGCTATACCGTTAGTGATATGACTACGCTTCGGTCAAGTAAAAGGATTTGATAGGTCAGCTAGTTGGTGAAACATTGATTTGCAATGTATTATAAACTTCTAATGTATTACTTGGAATTAGAAAATAAAAATAATGTTAAGAACCCTTTAGCATGATATTTGTAAGAGGAAATTAAATTATTTTATTTTGTTAATCCCTTTTCTTTTGTTTTAAAAGTCAATGCCAGTTAATATATACTATATACTGTTTTAATTATGAAAAAGATGTTGGATCAGTGAATTCCTGTTTTTCGTTGTTGAGCAATACATTAATTTTCTTATTGCCCATTTTTGTTACTATTAAATACAGTCATATTACTTATGATTTTTATGTGTTAAAACAGAATGTTGTACATTGAACGAGAAAAGTATTTCTGTAAAATAATGGAATTGAGTTTAAAAAAATCTTTTCCACATTTTTAGTGTTTAAACTGAGAGATAATGGGATTTTAAAATTATTATTCATTTAACCACAGCATTTTTCTCTAGATTGAACCGTTATGATCTCTTTTGACACACTGTGTCCGATATTCATGAAAAAGTGACATCTGGAATGCTGTTTAGACTTAGTCATCTTTACTTTCACCCAGGACATCCTGAGTTAAAATTCCATCAGGTCAAAGTGCAAAATGAAGTCATAAGTAATTAAACGGATTTGAACTTTATTTATTAAGCAAATTACATGTTCATAGTCTTTCATGATTTTTAACTGCAGCTTACCCAGTTCCTCCTACAATTCCCTCAGACTATAGTACTACTTTATGTGGTGCATTAACAAAATATCCAACAAATTTCTTTACTCACGTTGGTTGTTAAAACCAAACTGGAGAATTAGATTTTCTGATTCATATTAAATATACTGTTACATTTTTGTTTTTTATTATATTTTCGGGTATTGTATAACAAAAAATATTTCTTTTATCTTTTATGATCATTTTGCTTTGGTTTACTGGGAAAATTAGATATTGTTTATGCTGAAAATAAAGTTTATTCAAACCATTGTTTAGTTAAAAACTTTACCAGGTGGATCTTTTTATTTGAATTTTACTGTTACAGTTGATGAAGCATACAGATTGATTTAAAATAAACATTTTTTGGCCTTCTGACACTTAATGGTTTGTCTTTAATTTCATGTTTTTTCTTATGAAAAAATGTTGTGAATATGAATCTCTCCCAGCAGAAAGAGGGAGTTTTCCATATACTGGTCCAAGTGTGATTGAAGACTGTACTGTAAAGTAGGTTATGTGAAAAACATAGATTTCCTGTGTCCACAGGGAATCAGAAAGACAGCCTCCTTGTCTGTAAGACTGGGAAAATTTAAGGACATTTAACAGTTCAGTGATAATCGAGGCATGTCATAATTTCCTTTACATTTTATACCAGTAATTCAGTTTTACTTTGCTTTACTTTACTTTGTTCATAATGGATTGAAGACATAGTTAAATCAAATGCTAACAGCAGATTAATGTGACTTTGAATTTCCTGATAAGATCATGCTTACGTGTTACCAGTGAGATCAGATCCACCAATAAGAAAGTGCGTTATTGGAAATGGCCCTGCATTGGTCTCAAATAGTGGCCTGAGTCATCTTGCTCTGCGTGACTTAGCCTCCAAGAGAGTGTGTCATACACCCAAGAATTTCCTTCATTTGTATTAAGACATTGTTGAAAGCAAATCATGCAACAGTTCACACAAATTCTCTGTTTTGGGTTCACTTAATACTTTTGTGTTTTTTTCCATGGACAGCAGTCTGTGCTTGTCTGTCCTTGCAAGCTAAGCCATTACAGCTCCAAAAGAAAAGTCCTATTTTCAATGCTGCAAAAAAGTGCACCACTACATTTTCTTTTTGCTTTTGATTATTTTTACAAAAGCTAGTCTGATTGTGAAGACTGTTTACAAATACCCTTGCAAAGTAGGCACTTTTCAGGACTCGTGTCTAATAATAGGGCAGACTTTTTTGAAAGCATTCCTTCAAGCCCAAATTGGAAAGAGAGGTCTATTGGAAGTTTACCACAGTAACCCACAACTGCCTGGCAGTGTTAATTTTATTATTCTTCTTTGATTAAATTAAGATGGGTTTTTTTTTCCTACATTTGATGTAACAGTACTAATTTTTTGCATGTTCTTTTTGTTTTCACTGTGATGAGTGATTGGTCAGTCTATGGCTTAACAGCTAAAGAAAGACTCGTGTTGTGGCAGAGAATCGGTTCCAGTTTTCAAAGGAGACATAGATAAACATTTCACCAACTTAGAGCTTTTTAGAAAAGAAGAATAAGCAAATACTACATTTTAAGATTCTTGGTTGAAAGGCTAATTTGGGCAAAAACGAATGCTTTTGTACGGTTTGCTGGCATCATGGTATGAAGTTTGAGGTTTTAAGCAATGCTTTGCAGAGGCACATTTTTTCTTCCCATAAATATTTTGCACACTGAAATGTTATGGGTTTAAGCTTAAGTGCTTCATCAGAGAACCTGTTTAAAGCAGTCTGAAACACTGAGTTGGTGAACGGAGAACCAAAGGACTGTGATTCGCACTGATGGAGTCTGTAGTGTTATTGGGAAGGAGTCTCTGTTGGGTCATAAGGGTAAACTGTCCCTCCATCCATTTTCTAACCTCTTTATCCACTACAGTGTAGTGGGGAGTAAAATATTTAGTTGCAAAAACTGTTACACAGCAGCAGCTGGGTTAAATTATTGACAGTTGCTCTATATATTTATAAGAGGGCATGTAAGATTTGGTTGCGGTGTGATTAACTTCATAACAATGTGTTGTTTTCAGTCACTTACGTGAGTCCTTTGCCTCAGTATCCTGTGGGGAGACAGGAGGCTCTCACTGTTTCTCCAAGAGGAAAAGCTCTGTGTGTGTCTCAGGAACAGCCTCTGAGAAATGTTGCTAATGATCGTGGGTTGTGTAATTAGGGAGGTGTCCTGCACGTACCCATTTACAGTGAAATGTAAGCATTTCAGAGGATATTAGTGTTCTTAACCGTTCTACTCTTAAGAAAAGCTTGCCATACGTCAGGCAGGATGCAACTTTTCTGCTGAGACTTTATATACTCATATGTTAAATGCCATAATTGAGCTTGTATCTCTATTTTCACCTAACATATTTTAGTTTGTACAACTTTTTAGCATTTATAAAGCACTTTTCAGCCAAAAGGATCTCGAAGTGTCTTTCTTTCTCTCTGACTTTTTTTGTGTGAATATAGTTATAGTTTAACATATAATGTAAAAAGAAAAACAAGCAACTTTCTGATAATGGAAGTGTGGATGTTCTGAAATATCTCAGCTGACAATCGCACCTCAGAAACAGAAATCCAGTACACCATCAGGAGTTAAAGAATTTCCACAGTTCGTGAAACCCATAGTTACATTCACGGCAGGTCGGTTTGCTGTTGGCCTCACCCAAAGCAAAGTCATTGGAAAATCAGCTTCTGTGGAGCAGTAATGAGGTGATCACTCCCTCCAGTGTTGCACAGCTAGCTGAGGACACCTGGGCACCCCAAGGACGATCAACCCAAGTGGTCCTCAGCCAGGTGTGCACCAATACTTGGGTAATCCTACTGTCAGTGACATATTGACAAAGTGCTGCCATAAATATATATAAATGTATCAGTGATGTTTAGGACTCAAAGACATTTGAAAGGGGATATAATTGCAGTGCTATTGCTGTAGTATATTCCTATGTTCATTTAATTTTTTCATTATTCTGCAGATTTATTTAACATAAAAGTTATGTTTTTATGTGAACAAACTGCATTTTCTTGGTCTTTCAGGTGACAAGAACATTAGTGATGACAAGCATGCCTAGTGAGTAAGTATTGTATTATCCAGTTTTGTATCGATACTATAACTCTTTACATAATGTCTGCTTAACAGGCTTCGTTTTATTTTGCAGGAGTTTAGAAGTGGTTTTACTTCTTTAATTGTATGAAAAAAATGTAGGCAACATCTCTTTTTCCTCTGGTCTCTGATTTGTGTAAAAAATATAAAGGGATTTTACATTTATTACACTGTGGTAGTCCACTGCCTTTAGATTTGGGGAGCTGAGCTTGAGCTTTGTGTCCTTTGGTGGAGACTGGCACAGAACAAGTTGCCAGTAGGAAGTGATTGTGGTAACCGATACATTAAAGGCTTCGTTTATTATATGTGACTCAGACTGCTCATATTGAGTGTTTAAAATATATAAGTATATAAACAGACAATGTGAGCATACACTAAAAATGTGAGCTCAATGCACTTGAGGATTCTCCTACACTAGGGCAAAAATTCAACAAAGAACTACCGACAGATTTATGTTTGAATAATCAGTGTCTGCAAAGGAGCTCTATAATGTCTTGTACAGGCCTTTGTAATGTGCAAGTTCAGTTTATTAAGAAATTCTACATGGAGACAATCCGGAAGGACATATATTAAGGGAACTATTGATTTGACAACTAAAAAGATTTTTCATTCTCAAAAGCTGGTTGAAACTAGAAATTTGTATTAGGTCTGTTACAGCTCTCTCAGTCTCTGAAGCCAAAATGTTGGCCAAAAATAAAGCTGACTGGACAAATAATATATTGTGTATTAGTATGATTTAATAACCCTGCCTACGGCTGAAACTGTAACGGCTGTTGTGAATTTGTGTGTTACAGCAAGCAGAATGTAGTCATTCAAGTCGTGAACAAGCTGGGAGGCTTCTCTTTCACGGACACTGTGTGTGAAAGCACTACTCATGTGGTGACTGGCCATCCCCGGCGTACTTTGAATGTTTTGCTTGGGATAGCCAGAGGCTGCTGGATCCTGTCTTTTGAATGGGTATGTATGCTGAGCAAGGTTACTGGTTATTCAAAAGGATTTAGACTTTGGGGAAAATATCCATAGTAGCACACTGGTATTTTATGACAGAGCTGTCCTATACTGGTCCTGCGGGAAACCTGTCTCTCTGCTGGTGTTCATTCCAGTTCGGCACTCAACAAGCTAAACCAGTTCATTGCTGGCTTAGCTGGGCACTAAGATGGAGCTCTACAGCTTCTGCGTACTGTGGAAAACCTGCAGACAACACCAGCCCTCCAGCACCAAGAACTGGATCCCCCTGCTTTAGGACGTAGTGTTTGTGAAATGTGCAACTACTTCAGTACACTGTTACGTCACTTTAATAAAATCACATCGAATAAATTAATTAAAATTAAATTAGTTTTATTTCACTTTATGAATTTGGCATTTAAAACTAGATTTACAGTGGTTAGAGAAAGCTTGCATTTTGTGGTACAGGTGAGATTATTCAGTGCACAGGGAATCACAGAGGCCATTGACTTTAAAATGTTTGTTTTGCTTCCTACAGATTAAATATAGAATGATTTTTTTAAAATGAGATTGATTTAGATAACCGAACGAGTAAACACTTGAAGCTGATATAATCTTTTTTTTAACAGTAATTTCAGGGCAAAGTACATTGGTTTCCTGATTTAAGAGACTGTGCAGTTTACAAAAAACATAAATACAGTGTACTTTACTTTAAAGGGCTTTTTTACTGCACAGCTTGTAAGATTAAAAAGAATAAAAGACCATTGAAAATTCTGAGCAAAATTGTCTTTAATTACTTTCTTACAAGGACAACTTGGTTTGTGGTAGGTCATGCGTAATGAGTCTTTAAGATTATAATGCCAACTGCATTTGTATTCTGATGTTATCGTTTTCCAGCATTATCAGAAACATGTCCTCCTGCAGGCCCTCTAAGTCTTCCATACTGTGCGTTGTCTCTTGTGCTCAGCAAAAGGCTTAAGTAAAGCTAATGCCTCCCTTGAAATGCCACAAGGTAGAAAGTTTTCGTCTTGAACTAAGCTGACAGCTTTGCTAGGATGTGCTATTAAGTTGTGTTATTAGTTTGGTGGGTCAGTAAGTGGAGCTCACTCCTTTGAACTAGAATTTCCAAAACTAAACACTGCACTGTGTGAGATGTCAATAATAAATCTGCAAGAAACATGCCATACTCAAAGACTAGTGACTAAGTATTGCTAAATTGTCATCTAGTGAAGACACTGACTATTAATTGCAATTCAGAGGGAGGTATTTTTTTTTGTAAAATACCAAAAAATACAAAATACCTCAAATAAATAATGCTATGTGATAGCTGTTCCTAGTATTTTGATATTTGTACATATTTTGGCCAATCAAATCTAAAATGTTATAGCAAAGGACTTTAGTACCTCTGCTATGTTACTTGTGGTGAATGGAATTCCACATGAGGTAAAAGAAAAGTTTGGATAGGCCCTCTGTGAAATTGGCCACTCCTTTGAGGATAGTTAGGAAATAAAATGTCCAGCTGAGACGGAAAAGGATTCAGTCTGCATCTAAGCTCTAGGAGGGAAGAAGAGTGGATGCAAACTCTAAGCAGGGTAGTTCCAGGTAGCGGACAGGCCTGTTGTCAAGATGACTGTGTAGCAGGCCCAGTCGTGTAGGGGCACACTGCTTGTGGCTCACTTTAACAAGGCTGACAGGAAGTGTTGGCACAAGTACAAGTAGGGCACTGCCTGGCAAGTAGTGGTACACCTTCTTACCATGGAAGTCTAGACAGCATAGCACTTGAATCGTAAGATCTCACTGTGGCCCAAGAGCTGCTAACAGACAGGTAGACTGAGGCAAAGGGAACATGGTATCGAGCCTGACTGCTGCCATGTCAGGAACACCAGGGTTGATTATGGAGCAGCATACCTGGCCGAACAGGATCAGCTGGAAGAAGCCTGAGGTAGAGAGAGAACTGCAGAGGGGGAGGAGTTGAAAATGATATTCTGTGATCTAGTCTGTGATGTGAGAAGGTGTGCATTGGGGTGAAGATCACACTGTCTAAGGTATTTTGGTTTTTAGAGTGTGGTAAATGGAGGTGTATGTCAAAATTAATATAACATTGTTTAAGGTTTAAGCGTCTAAATGAGAGAAGAGGTGTGTTGGAGCAACTACTGCTTGATCTGGTATACCTAGTGTCTAGGTGTGTGAGTTGAGAGGATCTGAGTCTTGGTGCTTGTATGAAAATAGACCTGGGAGGACCAGCAAGAAAGATGTCTGATCATTCATTCCTGGAAGGGAAAAAACGTAAGAGATTTAGGATCCTAGAGAGTGTTGGAACCATGAAATAGAGTGAAGACAGACCTCTCAAAACACGTAAAATAACATAGAGAGCATATGCTACTGGCCGTGATAGGTGTATAGCCCAGGCCAGCCCTGTGACACTTTATATGAATGTACGGAATTGATTATTATGTTACTGTTAAATTGCATTGAATGGATTCATGTAGAAATCAAACTTTCAGAACTTAAAAGTCACAGGCGTCCAATCCCCATATTTCACTAGCATGCTTGGATAGTGGTAGTATACATTTTCCTCATCCAACATCAATTCCCAGCAGTTTCACAATTCACTGTACTGTCCAGGGTGAACAGTAAGAACACATTATGACTCCTATATAAATACTGCATATACCACAAAAGTTACTCCTAATGTTGTGTAAATAAGTTTGCACTGAAATGATGTTCCTGTTTGAGGCTATGCGCAATATCATTATACTGCAAATTCATCATCAAGCCTGCAATTATCTTTGTGGAGTAAGTAAGCGTGGACAATTTTTTATAAAGAACTGAGGACTCAGAGTTTGAGATGATTGCTTTTAGATGAGCATGCGTATACTTTAAAGTAGATAATCTGGTGACGTTTTGCTGTGGTGTGGTGCATGTCTCGAAACCCAGCTTGGGCAACAGGGGAAGCAGTGGAACTGCTGAGGGAGTCTGTCAGCAGTCTGGAGATAATGTTACAGTTTTTTTACACTTGAGAATATTTCATTTCACCCTGTACAATTTTGTCCAGTGCTCTGGTGGCTTTTTATTTGACCTCTCTGCTTTCTGGTTGGATCTTCAGCTGCCTTGTGTTTTATGTTACCTTTCTATTTGGATCCTTTCACTCTGCAAGGGCCTGGAAAAGATTCCTAGAAGTGTTCCTTTTACCCAAGCAGCATCTTTCATCCAAGGCCATCATCCTGGTATGCTGCGTATGTTTGACTTCTTTCCTCATCTTTCCCCAAAAGCTAAGTACATTATTGTTGTCTCTGATAGATCCTGTGGTGTCTGGAACGTGGACAGTGGATACCAGAGGAACCATATGAGCTGTCAGATCAGTTCCCTGCTGCTCCTGTAAGTATACCTTTGTCAGAAAAGCCATCTCCCTGCATTGGAATGGGACCATTTTCCTTCTATTATCACGCCCACTGTTAACGGAAGAAAATACACATTGCGATGCACAACAATATTTTTCACACAGTCTTTTTTCAGAATATATTACAATCTTTATGAACATGCATAATGCTCAAAATGGGTGCAGTTGGTGGTTGTTTTTTCATATACATATTTTAATATGTCAATATAACTATACTCTAAAAAGTTAAGTTATTAAACCCCAAAAATACTGTCTGCAGTTTTTCTTAATGTATTTATTTCTTATTATTGATCAGACCAAGGGTAATGCAAGTTGTAATATTGAGTGATTTGAAAACATGCTTTTTCAGTTTTTTTTAAGCCAATTGGTGATACTAGGTCATCATTACATACTTCCTGTAGTTTGTTTGCATCTCATTCCTCAGATGTTATTTTTAAAAGCTAGCTTAATGAATTGAAGAGGAAGCCAGTTACATTTATTGCTATTCATTAATTTTTCTATGTATTTATTCACCGGTGTCCTCTGTCATATCTGGAAGTTACCTTTTCCTGCCTTCCTTCATTCATGAGTCATCGTCTCCCTGCATCTGTTCTCCTCAGTCAGCAATACAGCCAATTTTAAAAACCTATTGTCATGTTTCTTCTAAAATAAATGAATGAGGACAGGAATAAAAAGCACCCATTTTCTGATGTGGAACCCACTAATGATCACCTTTACTGTAATTATGGTAGTCGGAACAGAATCCAGCATTGAGCAGGGCATTCACTTAGAAAGCAGACTGTAGGAATGCTCTTTGTTGCTTAATTTGGTACAGGATTCATACGTCAATAAAAGCAGGACTCTCAGCTTTACAAATCCGTTATTGAGAGCGAGCTTTTGTGCGACTTCCTGCAGAAAAAGAGGATGATGAGCAGCCAGCGGGTTCCTGTTTTTTGCATTTAACAGCAGGCAATGTGCTGAATGTCATTCAGTGTTTCACTCCCAGGACACTTTTCAAAGCAATTTATTTCTTTCATGTTTAGCAGTGTGGGATCATGCATGGACACAACATAAGATACTAATTGGAGTCCACATGAAGCTTTTCTGTTAGTGAGAGACGCATGAGAAAGAATGGTTAAGGTTTCATAGTATATTTTTCAAATCCCTTAAAACAGTGCATCTTTCATTATTGACATTTCAATATAAATGTTTATTTACATAATTCCATACTGCTTGTAAATGATCAGCCAAAAACATTGTAAATATCGCTGTTACTTGTTTCTGTTGTTTTGTGCGTGTTACATTGCAATGGGAATATGTTATACTATGTATAATATATATTCATAAATATCAAAATAGGTATTTATTACTATCGTTTGTTGGGATCGTTTGAATGAAGATGCAGTTTAAGATATTCTAGTTAAATACTGTTAATTTACTGGTTATATATTAGAATAGTCAGACATTTCTTGATCCCACTGTACTAATCTTCCCAATATAATGGTGATAGCTTTCTTTTAAAAAAAATGTCCATTAAAATTAAAGGTAGCACTTCAATACATACAAAAATAATTGATGTAAAGAATCCGGAAACAAGCTCACCGTCATCACCCGTCCCGTTATTCTGCTATGAAATGCCAAGCAGAACTGGAAATGAGCTATTCTGATACAATGGTGTCTGTAAGAAGCACTGAAGTCTCCCACGTTACTACTTTGCAAATGTGAAAATGTGTTTACAAGCAACTCTTGCATGGTGAGGTGAAAGGTGCATCGATCAACAAGGATTTTATTTTAAACAATAGAATATGAACTCGGTCTGCAGTTAATAACTTGTGCTTGACATCCCATCCAGAACAACACTTTGCAGTATTTAACTATTTTCCTGTAATTAAGTAATAACAAAGAGCAAGGACTTTTTTTTCTAAAAGATGTTTCTATCTGGTTTTCAACACCATAGCAGGGCCACAAGCCTCTCTCACAGCTGATCACTTCTGTTACAGTATCTAATAACTGGGTTAAAGTTAGGCAGTGAAAACTCTTTGACAGTTTCCCAAACTTTAGTTATCAAGTTGTTAGAAAATATATATATATATGTATGTATGTTAAAGAGTCTCTCACAGTTCCAGTTATCTATAAATAAAAAAGAGATTTATAGTTGAACCCATTGTAGTCCTTTGGCTGAGTTGGATTCCAAAGTATGTACAATCATAGTCCAGAGTTCAATGTTTGTGAGGGAAACGTTGAAAATGTTTCCATCTTCTGGGTGTACATAACATCTTCCTTAAGCAAAGCAAACATTTTGTGGATACAACTGAAAAATGTAAACTGTTTAAATATGACGATCTGAAAAAATGTTTAGAAGTAAAAAATGCTGCAGTCATATCTTGACAGGGGGAAAAAGTATTTACATCAAGCTGTATCAAATGTCAGTAGTGGAACAACCATTAAAAATGTGCTGGTCTGATCATCATTGTGGTGGATTTCAGTGAATAGCCTGAGCCTTTCCAGTAGTACCATTTGATTCCGTTAAACTTATTTGTGTTCTGTCCCAGATGATAATATATTCCATTCAAATTTGAAGGGCCACACGCATCGAACCACCAGCCTAAGGAGAAAAGAAAATAAAGGATTTGTTGAGAAGTGGTGGCAGAAAACCAATTTTAAGTATTACAAGTGAACTTTTGTGTAGTGTATACAAGAAGTGAGTATGTGTCATAAACTCAGGGAGAAGCACGCTTTCACTTGCTTCTTGCAGACAAATGTTTGTTTATAGCAGGAGAACCAACCACACTCCTGCCCAGTTATCAGTTTTCTAATGATACATTTTACTGTTCGTTTGCTCAGTTGGTCTGACTCCTCTGCAGCTGTAGTCTCTGAGGTTTTCCAGTTTAAATTCAAGAGGCAGAAATGTCTAATTCATGATAAGTGATATATATATATACGCAAGGTGAGGCAAGCTGTTTTTGTTGGCTCACACTCAGCACTCAGCACTCAGCCTCTAATAATTCATCAAAGTCCATTTCAAAAGATATTAGCAATACTGTCACATTGAAGGAACTGTTTTCCCCAGAAATGCTTGAGTACTTTTTTTTACTGTAGCAAAAAATGAAGGCCCTCCCATATTGTCTCAATCATTGTTATCAAAATATGCTGTTGGTAATCCCTGTTAATTCCCATTGTGTGGGTTTTTTTTCTGGAATAACCCTTCAGTGGGTTAAATTCCAAACTGTTGACCCTACTTAGCTCAGCTGCGGACGTGTGGGGCTCTCCTGCTGGAAAGAGGACTGAGAGCAGGTTGTAATGTAGAATATTTTCAATGAGGCTCGTTTGAAGGAGGACCCCTGCTAGTTTAGCAAAACTCTGTCGTTCCCAGACTATTAATGTCAGGCTTTGGAAAGCCTGAAATTCCCAAAAGAGGGGATCAGTGATTAACTCGAAGCTAATTTTGCTCAAGAGTCCTGACCCAACTGCAAAAAATGTTATATTCTTTTCAACTGCTGCAGATTCTGGGGGGGTTGCCAAGTGTGGAAACGCAACATTCGGAGTTAACTGTTCAGTGAGTACAGTAACTCCGCATGAAACAGAATTTGCATCTTGTCTTCAAAACAAGCTGCAGATCTTGACAGCGGCAGGCTGGGGGAGGGGAGAGCAGCACGATGAGGTAATGAAACCGCTCATACCTCCTGTCGTTAGTTGTGAACATTTGCAAATGCATTTGTCATTGTCTGCATCCTTTGTACTGAAATCACTTCCTGGCTGACCAAGGCTACTGATTTTGCCTGCTGTTCCACTGTAGCCTTTAAGGTGTATCCTGTATTATTGAAAAGAGAAAAAAACAATGTGAGGCGGAAATCCACTGTTTCAAATGCTGCAGAAATTGATGCAAAATTGTCAAAACGCTTAAGGCTTGCTCACATGTTTACATCACATATCATCAAAAACTTTTACAATACAAGTTTCACAGTGTCAATAAAGAACTGCACAGAGAAAAACTTGTTTTACTGACAGCATTTAATGAAATCGAATCGGAAAGAAGACTCGATTAAGCAGCTTTGTCTCCATGCGCTCGTTCCCAGTGAGGATTTTTCAGCTTCAATGAGGTCAGCGGGTTTTTTTTGTTTGTTTTTGGTGATTTTAGCTCCACGAGTTTTTTTTGTTCTGGTCATTCTTGTGTACTTTGGAAGATTAAAGCACTTTGTCCACACAAGCCATTGACTGCTAGGTGAGGCATGAAAGCTGCTCATTGCTTATGAAGGTTGTCTTCTGTTTTGTAAACTTTAGTCTGTGATGTACTTTAAAGGAGGTGATTAGGTAAAGATATCATCTTAACCGATATTCATCATCTCTATCCATGATACAGCTTAAACACAGGCAAAAGAAGAGGGAAGTAATTTTGAATAATTGTTTTAAATTACACTTTCAATGTCACCACAAGTTAATTATTTAAAGCCCAGTACAATCAAGAGTGTGCACAAATGTAATATATCCATTTTTTTTAAAGTTGGCAAATCCTTAGGTCATAATATCTGTAGGTTTTCATTAAAAATAGTGTATAATAAATAAAGAACATACATAGCATATTTTCCAATACATGGCCCTGATATTTTTTAAGACCTTCACTTAGTCATAGAAGGGACAACAATTCTATGTGTTCTTTTTTCTGTGTTAAAGATCCTAAACATTTCCAGATGGCAAAATATTTGTTTTGGATCCTTGACAACTGTGTACCACATTTAGATTGATATTAGTTTTCATAGTCAACATAAAAGGTTGCGTACTAGTTTTTAAAAATTGTACCAACATGAAGTCCAAGTCAGATGATCAATCACTTTAACATTTCCAAAGACGTATAGGCACAGATGAGGTTTAGGTCTGAAGCTTAATCATTTAAATCTAGCATTGAAGGTATACAGGTAATGATCTTAATGAGTTCAATCTACTCTTGAAGTCATGTGAGTAATGGTACATAGAACTTTGGGTTTCTCGTGCTTCTTGTTTTAAAGTTTGACCTTTAGCAAAACCTGTTTTTTTTTCCTTTATTGCTTTTTATTAAAATGTGTGAGAAATTGGGAATGCTACAGCATCTGTTTTTATTTTTCAGACAGCAGCAATAAATACAGTACTTGCACTACTGTCAACCATGGATAAACCCGAGAGAGAGAATTTGCACAAGCATAAGAGAGCAGAAGAATTTCGGTGCTGACCTGTAGTTCTGGGCCTCGGGGCTGAGATAGAATTGGTCATACTGTGAATATCCCTCATTCCCTTCCCAGTCCTTTAGCTGAATCCTGAGGATGTAGGGCTGTTGATTGGTGAGTCGCGACACAAACTCGTTTCCCAGCCAGTGCTCCCCAGTAAGGTCTCCAAACCCCTAATTAAAACAAAGATCTCCTATTAACGGACTTCATTATCAGTACAATATCAAGTTTTCATATTATAATTCAGTAAGTAAGGAATTCGTTTGTGTGGTGTTATTTAATGACAAGAACGTTCATTATGTGTTTGATGAGTGTTTACCATAACATAAACTAGGGTAAAGCAATTTTTTTCTTATTTTGCATGACCCCAGGACTCTTCATTTTGGAGTGCAAAGCCCTAAGGGCTGGTCCACTTGGCCATCTCATATCGTATGAAATCTCTGTCAAACTACTGACAGCTGAACAGAGATTTGGCACATAACAGCAGGACATTTCAGGGATCAGTTGTAGTACATGTCCGCACTTGGGAATCTATGTACTGTACGTATAATCGTGCGTTACCAGTTTGTACTCTTTCCATGTGCGGTGAAAATCAATGCGGCCATCAACACGACGCTGGAATACGGTCCAGCCTCCTCCGCTGGATTCCATATCACAGTATGCCTGAAGGAGACAAGAGTTTACAGAAACATAAACCCAATACAGCACTTTTTTAAAAATAATGTAATTACAGCAATGCAATAGGCTGTGCATTCCTGATTTGCTTTTATTGTAACGTTATAATAGATTTTTTTTCTACTTTGATTTTTTTCAAGTTTTTTTTTTCTTAAGCTAAAAGCAATTAATTACTTCTGAAAGGTATCCAAGGAGATGGGTTTCTGGGCTGAAGCATGTAAGAAAATGACCCCAGGGTGTGAAAAACTAATTTATTCCCTCTAAGATGGTTTGAAACCCTTTACCTTTATGTTGGCAGAAATTTGCTGAGAATGCAAAATTAATTTGTCACTCCTGTTTGATAATCTGGAATAGGAGCTAATTTTGCTTATAGAGGAGTGAACATAATGGTCATACAAGTTGTTCAGCTTGGGTGGTGACTGCATGTTGGAAAATAGCTAGCAGGTGCCACAGGTGCAGCTCTCTTAACTTTACTAGTGTGTCTCAGACCGGGGGCTCACTGTCAGAGCATTTTGTGGTGTTACGTAGAGCTGTAATATTGTCACCTGGAAGCCTTTAAACCAGCCAAATGAAAGGGTCTCTGATTACAGTAGAGGTCTGTATGTTTTGTGCAAAACATGGCCTTTGCAAACTGATTTCCTAAGTACAGAATGTTGTTTTTGTCATTTGCAAAATGAGGTTACTGTTAAAAAATGTGTTTTTATTGTCTTTATTGAGAGGATTTACCAAGTTGGATTTTAACGAAAAATTGCCAGAGAAAACCAGTCATTCTTTTTAATAAGGACTCCTCAATTTCTCCAAGATGTTAATGGCTAAAAGCTCAGGTTCCAGTAATTATGGGCATCCCCCAGCAAGGTGTCAAGTTTACAGCAGCACACATCCTCCGACACAATTTGACAGACAGGCGGACAAGTAGCCGAGGTTCATGGGAAAGAGCAGCGCGTCTATTATATTTTAAATTCCTTACCCCTAAGTAATAACAAACATAAATCAAGAAATTGCTGAGAAAGCATATTTTTTTCCTCTTTAACAAATACTTGGTTTAAAAATTAGAATTAAAGATTAACAGTTACTATTTCACTGCCCTTAGTTTTTAACTGATTTTTATCAGCTCACTTAATTGATACCAGATAATACAGGACAGGCTGCATTTAAAGGGCAGTTTCATTATAAAGCGCTGACTGCATTTGATTACTTGCTTTAAGATGTACAGAAAGTTAGTCTGTGTGTTTTGATTATAATAGATCTACAACTGCATTTTTACTGGCTTTACCCTGTTTTGTCTTTGAAATCACAGAGTTCCTGATGTTCTTTTTAGATATTTTTTTCTTAAGTGTTTAAGAATAAAATAATAATTCTTGCATTAGAGGACAAAATTAATGTTTTTATTAATAACCTTTGTGGCATGCCTATCATTGCAGTTTGATTTAGGGTAACATGATATGAACTAATCTAAACCTCCTTTCATGAGAGTAAGATGTGCTGTTTAGAAAGAATGCTTTATCTGAAAACTGTAATTCTGATTCAGGAGGCAAGTCAGCCTCAGTAACAGAGTAAGAACATTTAACAGGCCTCATCATTAATTAGGCCTCATTTCTCATATCTTATTTCTAGAATCCAGGCTCCGTAAGTGCCATAATTATTCAATAGGTTTAATGGGGAAGCTGCTATAGGTGTATGACTGGAAATGTTTCAGCTGTGCCAAAAAGCAGACACAGGTTGTTTTTCTTTTTTCTACTTCTCAGCGTGAAATTAATCTTTACATAATTACTAAATACCTTAAACATGAGTATTTTTCCCGTAACTGGTCTTACTGACCTCAGTGTGTTCAGCCATTTCTTTCAACATCTTTAACCTAGTTAGATTATCACTAGTGAAGGATCACTAGAGGACATGCGTCCCCAGTTTTAACGTAGAACAGAATGGCAGTACTATTGGAGAGAAACGTCAAAGCCTACAGTACCTTTACAGACTCGGTGGTGTTGGGGAGAGTCAGTGAATAGACACCGCTGTTCGTCTTTCCAGACCTGAAAACAGCAGCGCAGTCTTTATAGAGAGGTTGAACCTCTGGCACGGCAGCAATCTTTTTGACTGTAAAGGAGAAATATGCTGTTAACGGTCGTTTCCTGTCCACTACTGCTATTGTTTTGAATTCCATTAAAAGTATTATAGTACCTTATAAATCCCATGGTTCTCATAATAATAAATCAAGTCTTGATATATGTAAAAGAAGAAGGAACCTCAATATACAGCATTGCTCTGCTGTCTGTGGGGATGTTTTTAGGAATTTCTACTTGGGTTTCAACTTTCAAACAGCTGTCCGACATGCTTCCGAGTCGTTTGTGAGCCGGGAATACAAAGCCAGAACAGGACTGAGGGAGTGGCACTGGACAGGCTCTTACTGCGTGGGGCCGCCATGGTGGAGACGAGGCTGTTCACGGTCTCCATCAGCTCCTGCTGCTGCCTCTGCAGGGCCGTGTTGTTGGAGGTGGCCGCCAGCAGCTGCTGCTCCAGGTCCCGTATGAGCGCGCCCTGCCGCTGCACCAGCTGCTGGAGCAGCTCCTTCTCCTCCTGCAGGGACGCCAGCTCGGCCCCGCGCTTGCCCTCCATCTCCTCCACCTTCTTCTCCAGGGCGCTAGGACAGGGAGAGCGGGCCGTAAGAACGAGGGGCCTGGCCCCTCCTCTCTGGGCATTCATGGATTTCAAACAAGCTGAGCGCTCCTGTCAGCCCCTTGCTAAACTCGCTCAGAAGCTCTCTGCAGTCGGATTTGGAAAACATTAGAAAAGAAAATATTTTTAAAGGGGGGGGGCACTGCAGCTCCTCATAGAAAAGGAAAAAAAGCTTTCCCCCATTTTGACCTTAAAGCTTGCGTTCTGCAACTGGAAGACTTTGATTTATTCCCCGTAGATTTAAACTATTCAGCCTCCCACCTTCTTCTGAAATCCGGACTCAGTGTCATGAATGTCTTTAAAGACAGATCTCCAGAGGTGAAAGAACAGTTCCATCAGGGAAACCGCATTTAATTTTAAAATAAAATCTCTCAGCAGACGTTCACAGTTTTTTCTTAGGAGCTTGACTTTGTCTGCCAGGACCCCTTTGATCTTGCCACCATGATGCGTGTTGAGCAAGTGCTTTTCTTTTCAAGAATGCAAAGTAAAGGAAAAGTTGGAGGCATAGCCTGTTTTGTTGTACTATTAACACATTTTCCTAAAAAACAACTTTGTGAAAGGATAGAATTACACACTGAGCTACAGTACACACAGGAGCTTTGATACTAGCAGAGGGAAATATGGTAATTAAACTGATAAAATGACTCCAGCTTATATGGGCATTAAATGATTCTGGCATGAATAGAGTCATTTAGTCAAAATGGAAGGGAAATGGGAAGCTACTACTGAGATGAGACTCTTAGCTTAAAACTTTGACAGAAATAAAGTCAATGTGCACTCTCCACTATTTATTACGCTCGCATATACTGTATAATATACCATATCAGAAGGTTGATTTAACCTTAAATATAGTACTTTCTTGTATCTTCTTTGTTAAAAGTTAATAGTAGAAAACTTCTTGTAAAAAATAAAAACAGGCTAGATTCTTGAAAATGTGAAATTCCGACCTTTCGCCTCAGGCTTGGTGGCTTTGAATATGCCTACCTGTTTTTCTCGTGCAGGCTGCTGATTTCGTTCGTCTGGACTAGAATCTGATTCTCCAGTTTGCTTGTGGAGAGGGAGTTTTCAAGGAGCTGACGTTCAAGTCTTGTCGTCTGATTTATAACCTAAAGAGAAGAAGAGAACAAGTTGTGCTGTTTTTATTTTCAAAAAAACTTTTCAGTTTAGATTTCTCTTGTTCTAGAACAAGATCAAAAGCATTTTGTTTCGATCTTTATTTTTTCCAATGTCGTCATTTGTTATTTCAAAATTTGAAAATAATGTAATATTTCAATTGTGGATTTAGTTTGATTAAACAAAACATCCTTAATCACAAATTAAATTACTCTGAGGCTCAATTTATGTAATACCTTCTGACATCTGCCTATTTTTCCCTTCATACTGACAGTTTCGGAAACACTCGTACAGTCACCAGGCACTGTAGTCCTTCTGGATCTGCTGGAGCTCTTGGAAGGAAAAGGCAGTGCAAGTGCCTGGCAGAGCTCTCTAGTTTGATTTACATCAAGAAAGCAGTGAGGAAAGGTGCCAAATATTATTGCCCGTCAGAGAGCTGTAATTCAGTCATTCTCCTTATGTTATCAATTAAGCCTTGAGCTGGCTTTCACGATCTGAGAAATGTGGTGTCATGTGAAAATTTCAGTGCAGCATCACTAACATTGACCAAGAATAGGGATACGGTTGTACTTTACAGTAAGTCTTGGGATATTTTTTAATCATTTTATATATATAGAGAATAGTTTGTTCTGAAACCAACAGTCGTTAGGTTAATATGTACTGAACCTATGAGTATCCAGAATTGGTGGTTTACTTGCTATGTCAGCTATTTTAATTACAAAACCATAGTGAATTAGAAGTATTAAATTCCGAGTGTCACTTTTTATACAGGGTAAAAGTTTTGTTATAATTTCATGTTAAGAAAAAAACAGCTTGTCGGCAAAGAAAATTAAAACAGATTCTTAGTGTGGAGTCGTCTTAAGAAAACAGTGCTCCTCTGCACCATCATTTAGATTTATTGTTCATTGGAAACATTTTGTTTTTATATTAGTTTTAAGTTGAGATATAGATACTGTACTTCAAGGAGAGTAAGACTTGGATGTGTTTCAAGGCCATTCTACTAAGCTGGATAAAGTGCAAATGAAATAGGATGGTGAGGTGAAAACATCACAGACACAGTTGCATATAAAAGAATAAAAAATAAAAGCTCAGGATATGAGAGATAATCGGGCTTCACAGAGCTCTGAAACAGGTGAGGTAATGTGTCCTTAAATTACTTTTCTCAGTTCCTGGTTTGAGAAACGTTTCTGCATTTCAGTCCAAGGATACTTCTTGATAGTATTTCTGAACAAAAACTGAAAAGATAGGAACGTGGCCCAAAGGACTGAGCGAGTCTGCATTTAAGGCATTGGAAACGGTTAAAAAGTGCATCTGAAGTTCTTCATTGCATCTGAATAAACACGTAGCTTGAGAAGGTTCTGTGTGAAAAGAAGACATCACGTACGGTCTCCATCCCTCCTACCTGGGCCTCCACGCTGGTTAGCTTGCGGGTCTGCTCTGCCGTCTGGCTCAACAGGTGTGTTCCAATTTCAATCATGGTGGCTGTGTGGTTGTGCACTGCGTTCTGCTGAATTTGGACCATCTCGTGCTTCATGTTTTCTTGAATATAATTTTCAAGCTGCAGCAAATCAACATAAAAATCATATAATGAATTTGGGGAAACAGTTAAATCATACAGTGCCTGGGGAATTAGGTTAAGATGCCTGAAATACAGCTGGAAAACTTGAATTTTGCTGTTGATAGCTTTCAGGATGGTGTGCTGCCTGTCATTGCTCTTTTATTGCGCTTTATTGTTCTGTTATGAAATCTGGGACTACATTAAGTGTCTTCTTGTCCCAGAAGGAGCTGGTATTGTATTTATAGACCATCAAGTGCAATTCTACAGATGGGCTTCCAGCTCTCAGAGGGGATGCTAAAAGTTTGAAACCCTAAAAATACCGCCTGTGCTCCATCAAATCTATGTCAAGTTCAAATGTAGAGTGAAAAATTTCACCAGCATGTGTTATTGAATAAGAAAAATTAATTCCCTAAAGCTTTAAGTAAATGTATGAATAACCGAAGAAGGTAAAACACTAGACACTTAAGGTCTTGAATTCTCCCCCATAATACTGGTATTTAATGAAAGAACACTTTTCCAGACGTCTGTGTCTGTTTGGAAGAGACTTGTCAAAGTGGTTGGCTCCTAAGATTCGTCTGAAGCCTCCCAAAGTTTCCAGAACTAGTCCAGTTAAAAAAAAGATGCAAGGATATGTCTTTTAATATTGTAACTGTGTTGAATCTTAACATTTCTATTTCTTATTTAAAAATAGATACAATAGAAATTATTTCTTTGATTAAATACTATTTTATATCTTGTGTAAATCTAATGCAAACTGTAGAATTTTACATTTAGTATATTTTTTAAATACTAGTGGTGCAGTGGTGGGCATTGCTGCCAGGTGGCCCTGTGGCCCTGGGTTCAATTCTGCACCTGGGGTGCTGTCTGTGAGGAGTTTGTATGTTAGGAGGACAACTTATAAATTGTTCCAGACTGCAACATGTCCTTTTATGTCAAGAAAACTAATCTAAGTCTATAATAGTATTAAATACAGGATATTTGGAAACAAGATCTCGTGCTAGAAGGTCATAGCCCTGAAAAGAGCCAGAGGGGGTTATACTTGTCATATTCAATAAGGGCCTAAGCTATTTAAAACACATTCTTTTGGCAGGAAATTAAATTCCTGAATAAAACTGTTCAAATTGATGTGTTCGTATGCATGTTATTTTTAATTATAAATCATGTAAATGTGAACACAGGTGGTTGAGGAATTCTCAGAAGATTACCTTTATTTCATCTTACTAATACGGTGGTTAGCCATAAGTATGTTAGCTATTTTTATTTATTTTTCCAAAGTTTAAATGTAAAGGAAGTATGTATGCTCCAGGCCTTTCTCGCATATCATGTCATTTCACCCAGATTTACCTTGTATTAGCAGATCCACTGGGTTTCTTGTATTACCCAGTAAATAGGAAGGTGTTGTATGTGTGCTGTTCACTATAACGCATGAATAAATTGTGGGTTCATCTCAACGTTGTAATGAACGGAAAAAAATGACATTACAAAAGCAAAAGTAATGCACTTCTGTATTTTATCCAGATTTATATTCAGAAGAAAGAACAGTCTCTGTTGACATTTTAAAGGAATGCACTTGGAAAGTTTGTTCTACTAAGAGAAGCATTCATGAATTTTCTTTCGGTATAGATTTTTTTTTTATTCTGATGGCATTAAATTTTGCCTCAAAGTATTCAAATACTTTCATGAAAGTTATTTAATCAAATTTCTATTTTTTAAATTAAAAAGAGAACCCAAATTCAGTGCTGTATAAGTGGACAGGGATGGTGATGATACTTCTCAGTATAATATCTGATGAAAGATCTGTTTCCCCAAGAAAGGCACATTCTAAGAAAATCTAGTCTAATTGTACCTGCAATTCAAAGAAAACCCTTAACTTATAGGAAATATATATTTACAATCTGTTTTTAGGAAAGGTGGTGCCAAAACCAACATTCAACTTCTGTTTTTAATTTCCTCTGTACTTAGAAAGTTTTGAGCCAATCACTGAAACATGACTAATTGATTTAGTATTGTCAACAGGGTTGTAGAAGTGGTATTATGAAATCGCTGTCAATTTCAGGAATACTTATGAGAGGCTTTTTTGGTACATTTAGTACATGCAGTGAAGTGCTAAAAAGAATCTTCTAGAATGGATGTTATGCAACATTACACAGAATATTAGGTTAGAATGTTTCATGTGCAGAAGTGTGTTCTATAACCAAACTAAACTTTAAATGGGCTTTATCTTCAATCTTCAATCGTCTGGGATATTATGGAAGCTTTAGTGCAAGCACACGGCACGACACAGTTGTATTTCACTCTGCCCAATGCGGAATTTCTCATGAGAGATAGGCGACGGGAGAATTAGCCTGTCACAGTCCATGCTGCTTGAAAATTAAGTTTACATTTTGTTGCCTCTGAAGATTGAAACAGGAAGTCCCAACTGGCTTCTGTTGTTTGTCAGGAAAAAAGAAAAAAAAAAACATTCAGTGCTGATGAGAATGTTTGAGAAGGCTGTGACATTAGTCCTTACATACAGTACTCTACTCAATATGATCCCTTAGCTAAGCTTTTCTGCATTCCTTATCTGTATTCCTACTCCTTTTAGATCATCCACCAATAAGGGAGAGGTATAACTGCTGTCTGAATTTTATCCTGAAAACAGCTGCCTCTGTCCAAGGCAAATTGTGTAGCAAAATACATCCTGATTGTGGTTTCTGTAGATCGTGTGCGGAGAGAGGCTGCAGTGTGTATCAGATTATCAAGGCCTGAGTGTGTTGTGCTTTTCATCCAGGGTTAAACAATGCCAATTGGACCAAAAGACTAACAAACAGGATGAGGCTGATGAGTGACATGTTGCATCCTTTATGTGAAAAATTTTTAATGCTGTCGATTTAAAGGGGAAATACAGCACAGACGTGTTTTAAGTACAGTATGCCTTTTAATATCGGGAAGGTATAGCTATGATTTAGTTTTGTAGAAAAATATCAAATTCACTACCTGCAAATCTGACAGAAGTTGTAATTAGGCTTATTGTTGTTGTTGTTGTTTGCCTTGCCTTAGATGTTTTGTTTTCTTAGTTCTGAAGACACGTGGGGGATGGAAGATTTGTATTGGGATCTGTGAGCAGGACATTCCTGTGAGTGCTAATGTTCTAATAAGTTGTTTACAGACTCCACATTTCAGAGGCTGTTTCTTAAAATGCCTTGTTTATCGTCCAGATTCTCTGAAAAGAATGCAGCCAGACTGACATTTCAGTTAACTGGCACATTAATGAATTGCTACAGCAGTTTTGCACTAGTGTCACCTAGAGGGTTTAAGTAATCTCAGGGTCAGCAAATCAGTTGTTTTTTGGAGTACAGTTTGTCAATGGGTGGCAATAATTTTCTCTGCACTGTTACAGTATTGAAATGGCCCATTTAAAATTACAGCCTTTGTCCTGTTCACTCAGATAATGAGGGTGGTAATATGCCAGAGAGCTGACAAGTGGATGCCTCTTTCTTTGAACCAAACAGCATTAGTAAATACATCATGGTTCAAAGACATCATTATAAATCACAGTTAATGTCACAAATCGTTATTTCTAACACAGCCATTTTTTCTCCATGAAACAGATGTTTTCAGCCTAAGAAAATAGCCCCCTCATTACAAGTAATGCAGAGTTTTTCCTTTTTGTTTAAAATATGCCCTGCCATTTTTATTAATTAATATGAATAGTTGTATTATAGTTTTTGTCTTAGAAAGGAAATAAAGAATGTTAGTTGAAAAGGGTCATATCGATAAAAGGTTTAATCCCACAGTGGCAGTTGGCATGTTTTAGTTGTAGCATAGATACAGTGAAGTATTGAGGACTACCAGACCTTATAGTTGGGCCATTGTGTAGAGAGAAGCAAGGTTTTAGACTTGATTGTCTGAAGAACTTTTCTCCTTTTTGTTTTTATAACTTTTTAGCAATGCCATCAGTGACTCAAAATGAAGAAGCATGATTGTGAGATCGAAAGTAAACGGTATGAAGGTGTTAAAGTAATTGCTGAATAGCAACTGTAGACTTGTAAAACTTTTTGCTAGTAAAGTAGGTGTTAAGATTTTTTGGTGAAGGTGTGATTCATGTCAAAGCAAATCAATGCAACTAAAAGTTGTATCCAGTTTGGTGGAATTATTTCATGTCTGAATTCTACAATATTTGTGTTGTCACACTAAGTTATGATAGAACCAGCATGAAGCACACAGCATAAATAAATTACTGCTGAATGTGCATTGAATTCTAGATTAGTTCTGACTAACATAAATATAGCCTTAAAGGCTAAGTCATATAGAATATGTAATATCAATATTTGTCTTTGAAATAATCTGATAGATGCACTTAAAATATAGTGGATGTAACCGAAGCTACGGGTGTATTTCCTGGACAGTGATTAATTACATTTCAGTTATTCTCTTCAGTCACCCTTGTTTAAAGTGAATTCAGCTTCAGAGCTGTAGGTCGTGAAGCAATAAAGGCTTAATTTACTGAACAGAGGACCATTATTACTGGTCCAAAGAAGCAATATAGTTGACTTTCTCTCAGCATTTTATTCCCAGAAAACCATAAAGCATGAACGACTCGCAACAAAAGCCGTATAGGAGACATTTCAATGCATTCGCTTTTATTTGTAAATTATTTTAAAGATAATAAATGTTCCTTGTTAGTTCTTCTAAAATGTTCAGTTCTTATGTGATTAACAAAATCCCAAGAGCAAGGGAAAAATATTTACAAGATTTTCCTTTTCTGAGTTATATTTCATGTTGTACAGAGGAAAAGACCTCAGTATGTTCCATTTTTTAAGTCTCAAGAGTAATCTCATGAACTGAACCTAGTGGTGTATTCTATTTTTTTTCTGATATAGGATGTAGAATGTTCTTTTGTACTTGTTTTTTTATGATAAAGAAAAAAACAAAAAGAACAGTACCTTTTGCAATTTTGTAAAATAAAGAATTGGAAGTTTCTAGAACCCCAGAGGGAGTGAGTGTCATAATGAACTTGCAGACCTGAGAAGCTGTTATTGATATTATTAATAATGCTGTATTACAGTCAACCGCATGTGCTGGGATAGACGGTCATTTCCAGTGTTGGTTGTGAAGTTGATGCTCTAAGCTTAGGACAAGGTGTGACCAGCTAAACGATATGGGTTCTGCCTGTAAACTGAGGATTAGTTTGGGTTTCAGCAATACTCCAGCAATTGTCAGTCTGGATGTGGTTGTTCAGACAGATCCCCTTTGCCTGGGTTCATTGAAGAAAAAGATTTGGCTGTAGAACACCCCATCACACCACTTGTGACAATGTTCTGTATTATAGATCATGGTGACTCAAAACATTCCCACATATAAGGAGGAAAACACTAAATAAAAAAACTACTGTCTATTACTTGTTTGATTGAAGATAAAGTCCTTTGCTGTCCTGTTTTCTACTTACAGATCTTCTGACATCGTCTTTGATGTGACATAAATCTAAATGACATTCCAATAGCTTTCCGGTTGTGTATTATAAAAAGCTTGAGCCACAAGCTAATATAGATGCACTTTGTTCTCTTGCAATGTGAAACACCAGCAGGGTGAATGAGTTAAATCTGTATTAAAGGAATTTCTTCTCAACAGAAATGTTTGCAGATTGTGTCCAGATCCGAATTTTAAAAAGTGGAAGTTGTCTGATCTTTATAAAGATTTATAATCCTCATGACTCTTTTGTGTAGCTCTAGTCATCAATCTAATGCTTAGAAAAAAAAGGTTGCCCTGCATCAACATTATTCTTTGACAATTCAGAACTGAAAGATGCCTTCACACATTTCTCCTTCAAATACCTGTATGGAGACTTTGTTCCTCAATGGCACTCCTCAAGCACTTGTAGCGTGTCTGTATCCTTAAAGCTCAAATGTATCTTTGTTCACTATACATTCTTATTCATTCAGATTTAACACTTAGATGTTGCCCTATTGCCCACCAGCCAAGACATCTTTAAAGGTTCCCTTTAAATAAAGGAATAATGAGCTAGTTCATTCAGAACTACTACAAATATGTCTGTCACTGTTTTGAGCAAGTCATGTGAGACCAGACCATGGAAATCAAACCTTTTTTCTGTATTGTTTTATAGAAATGTTTTCCCATATTAATGATTCACTGGTTCTAGTTTAATGTAAGTTTAAAGGATTAATAAAGGCATTGTCAGAACTTCTAAAACCGGTGAAAGAAAACCATCTCAGCTCAGTACAGTGTTGGACAGTTCAGAAATCTTAAGACTTTCAGGAACTCTTAAATCACACGCTCCCAAAGATTTGAAGCGTATTGAGGCCAGTTTCCCCTAAGCTTAGTAATGAGTAATGAGGTCTTTAGTTTATCCTTAAGACAGATTCTAAAGAGTCAAAATCAAGCATGACATCCTTTGAGAATGATCTGAAATAGATTACATGCCAGCCGATAACAGAAATGACAGGATTTTTTCTGCTGCTTGGAATGAGCTGTGCTTGATTTTCTACTTGTGCCATGGGTCAAGTAAAAGAAACAGTCATAACGATCCAGAAGAACAATGCCTTTTTCAGTTTTCTTTTTCACAGCCTAGATGTTACAGATAGGATAGGAGCAGGTGGGAAGCAGGCATTAAACTAATCTTTTCACTCTTCAATCATTGTGTCATGGTCATGGCCAAAAAATGTGTTGCTTCAAAACTGCACATTAAGATGATCAAAGTGACATTATCAAAGTACCCGTAACTTTACTCAAATGCACAAGATGGTTTGTACTTTTTTAACCATTGCATTGCAATTGTATATAGAATTAGAGAGATCTGTGATGTTTCTGTGTCTACACAAACAAAAATTAAATAAAAATTACTTATTTTATGTATTTTAATAACTGCTGTTTTATGATCAATTAAGAATCAATTAGTTGATCTTGTCGTCTATATTTTTTTTCTTTTGCACTGAAACACTGCAGTAACAGTAAACTAAAACTTTTTTCTCCTTAACCTCTCTCATACAAATAATAGAAACATACAAACTTCCACAACATGACAATTTTCTATTTCTTTGCAAACTAAACAGTTCCATATACATATAATACCAGTGTGGCTCTGTTACTGATTTTTTAAAGTTAAAAAGTTATGAAAATTGTTGCTCGGAAACCTCTAAAATGTCAGTATTCAGAATTTACACTTGTAGGTTCAGCTGCTCTACAAATACAGGGGTCGTTCAGGGTAGTTTTTATTTCTCTGGATCTTAACAGCATCTGTTTTTTCATTTTTGTTATAGACATTCCTTTGTGTTTTCATTTTATAAATGAAATACTGCTCTGACGTGGACAGATGAGTGAGCTTTTTATCTGTAAGAACCTGAAATAGTTTGCTTGCTGTTTAGGCTCTGAATCAGCAGGTTTCAAAATGCTGTCTAAGTTTATTATAGTCAGCCATGGGAGGATGACTTTAAGGCTAAAAATTAATTCCTAGAGGAGCAGAAAACAGACTAAACATGGGACAGGAATTCTGTGTCTTGTCTAAAATACTGAACAGAATTTTAAAACTCCACATACTTTCTTGGGTAACTATGGTTTTATAAAACATTTCTTTAAAAGACAAATCAATAGAAAATCCATTCAGATGGTTATATGCTATAAACTTGTCCTGAAAAAAGAAAAACGCATGCTCAAGTGCAGTACACCTCAAAACCCAGAGGAATATATTAAATCTGTATCTCCCAGAAACTGCTACTGATGTATACCAACTGTCTGCACCACACCTGCTTTTCTGTATTTCTTTCATGCTACACTTGTGCAAAGGAAACATGTAGTGGTTTGCAGGTAACCCTGCCTTACCCTCAAGAGCCACTGTGTATTGTTTTCCATGGTGTTCTCAAGCTGCTCCAGCCTCTGCACTGACTCATATTCTGCTGGCTCATCTTTTTGCAGTGAGTTGCCTGTGTAGGTGTTAGCCGAGGTCCTGCAGTTGTCCTGTTCAGGTAGCAGAAATGTGTAGCTGCACGGGCCGTTCTGAATCTGGTATTGTTTCTTGCCCGTGCTGTCTGCGTCTTTCTTGTACCCTGTCCCCAGTGCAAGAGTGTAACTCAAAAGCAACAAACAGGTATTCCACATTTTTTTTTTTGAATTTCTGGGTTGAAATTTACCACAGAACAAGACAAGTCACTAAATATTGACTTTTTTAATGCGGCGCTTCTTTCACTTCAAGTTTAAAGTCCTTCAGTTAAATATTACACAGATCTTCCTTCTGAAGCCAGCCTTTTGTACTTGTTTCCCGTAGTCAGTGTCTTTCTACTCACACAAGAACAGAAAAAAACCCTCCTTGTTCTGGCAGAAATTTCTTGCTCTCTGATTAAAAGTTGCCTGCTGCTGTTGCTTTTAGCAACCCCTGGTATCTTGATTCAACTGCAATTTCTTATATGATTAGCTGAGAGGAGATGGAATTGTGTGTAGCTCTAACCCCTCCCACAGCCTGTCACTTCTCATTCTAAAGGAGGAGGTCACCAGCCAGACAACAGATATGTCAGAGTAGTGTCGTCTCCCTCATGCTGCGAAGAACAGACCAGTCGTTTGGGAGTAAATAGACCAATTAGAGGCTTCCCGTTGCAACCCCTGAATGCCAGTTCTGCTGGAGATTGAATCCTAGACATAAGGAAGAAAAAACTAACAAGCATTTTCCTGGGGACTGGTATCCAGAGTACATCCTGGTTGTGTCTGCATACTTCCAGCACACCCTGCAATCGCAGATATCTGTGCATCTCTTGCCGTGAACTGTGAGCGGGAAGCTTTTTTTCACTTAACCACAAAAGCAGAGGCATTTGTTTAAGTGGGGGGGTCTCTGAGCTGTCACTCACTCTATTCAGAGTTCTACAGCTGAATTCTTCGGTCGCATTAGCTCCGATTTCCTGCTTTTTCAGTGCCGGTCTGTGGTGGCTGTTTCTGGAATTTGTTATAGAAAATAGTCTGTTTACAGAAGGAGAGAGTAGCCAGCTAAGGAATCAGAAGGCATTAAAAAAGCTTGCCTCCTTGCCTTATGTCGTTTTACTTGATGCCAAGCCTCTCAATAGCCTAAAATAACCGTTTCTAATCCGTTCACATGGACCTCTGTGGTCATAGTAAGTTTGCCCCTCTCCTCTGGGATAGCTGCTTTTTTAACATCAGACACTAATTATTTACATTTAGGGATTTGTATGGGCTTCCTGTGGAGATTGATTTCTCAATCAGGGAATTCTACAGATTTTCTCGGATTGCAAGGGGAGAAGCAAGAAGCTGACGATGGACCTAAAAGAAATCCAGTCAGCATGTAGAAAACATGACCTGCTTGCAGTTCTAGTGTGGGGAAAAGTCCGCAGTGTTCCTGGTGAAGGAGCGTGCTGTGTATGTCTGGTCTCGTGTATTAAAATGTAGGGCAATTTGCTGGCAGATAATGTTGTTTTCTCTACTTCCCACCTTATATTTTGGAGGATGTTCCTCAGGTCAAGGCCTTGTCCCCTACATCCTGTAGAGTTGCCATTCAGTGCTGCTTGGTTTGCTGTCAAAATCTGTTTACAAATTACGGTTAGAAGCACATCAATATATTACTAGCACACATAAACAGCCTTTTTTATTCATTACCCATTTACCTTAACAATGGAGATTATTCCATTTATGTTAATGATCATTTAAATTCCATTTTATTTTTTTTCTGTTATGATGAAGCTGCTCTTCATCCTGAATCTGAGGTTTTTATTGAGGTATATGTCAAACCTACCGACAAAAAGATCTTAACGTTCTTTGACAGGAAAGCTGGTTTCCTCTTCACCTGATAATGGTGTCATTTGCTGTAATAGCAGGCTTCTGCATGTCTGTAACCTGAAATACACCATAAAGAAAGTCCATGTGTTCACTGCTGCACAGCTGCTTTCCATTACTACTGAAAGATTAAGAGCTTCCTCTTTATTCACTTGTTCAGAGCCTTTTGGTTTGTGACAACTACAGACAATGAACTCACTACTATTGATAAGAAATACAAAGTCAAGCTTAGTTTAATCAATTTGTGTAAAATTTACATGTCTATTTGTAATGGCTTACACTTAGCTTTTCTCAACATGCACTTGCTATGCCTGTGAATTTCTTTGCATGTTTTAGAAAGTAACTAAAACTGTTAGCAACTGTTGTGCAAAATCATTAATACCTTTGTTCACCTATCCTCATTTGTGTTCATTTCATTTTATAGATGTTGCATTAATAAATGGCATAGCCTTATACTCTCACAGCATGTCAAAGCATGACTGCTGTGATACATTAACGTACTTCTACGTGGGATTAGAAAAATACTATCACCTCATGTGCAGTGCTGAATCAGAAAGTAAGTACCAGGCTATTACACTGAGGTGCTGTATCTTCTTGCTTACTCATGGTCCCTGTTAAAGGGCTACAGATATGTATGTGATGCAGGCTTGGTCATTTTACTGCAGATAAGTCAAGAATTTTGATTTGTGTAACAAGTCAGTCTATATAAAATTAGAAATGCACTGCATATCCTCCTTCTGTCATCTGTGAGGAATAGGAAAAGTGTTTCCTCTGAAAGAGAATAATAGTTTGGGATTTTATGAAATCGCAAAGAGGCAATGGTTACTGGTACAGCACACTCAAATGTTTATGTCATGTCAATAGAAAAGTTATGCATTCAATAATGTCAATCTTTTCAAGTGTATGCAGAATTGCAGAAATTTGACTGATATTGAAAAAGTTGAATACAAAGTCATGTTTATTTTTTTAAGCCCGAGTAGTGGTCGTCTGCTTTTCTGCTCTGGGGGTTCGTGTTATACATGTCCTTTGCACAAAATCTGGTTTCTTAAGACATGTCCCAAGAATACATAATGTTCCTTTTATCTTTCTTAGAAGAGTATGACTCTTGCTGTATTCTGTATATAAAACTGAAGGGTTCAGGGATAAGATGAGGCTCAAGTCCTCTGAAGTAAGTAGAAAAGTCACAAACGTTGCTAGGAAACATGTGCAGAAAGCCATATTTGTAGTACATGGAGGAGATTTTCTCCTTGGCTTCTGTACAAGGGCTCAGTTTTTTCCAGCAAGCCCCTAGACTTTGTGCTTGACCTGTATCATACAGATTGCCAACTCAAATCACTTGAAGTCCATTTAGCAACTGGTTGTTTTCCACTCCCACATGAAGGAAAGCCCTCTGTATGTTACTTTTTGGTTCTTGAATGGTCCGATTGGTGCCAAGCTGTGTTCAGAAGGAAACAAAAAGCTTTGGGGAGCAAAGAAAGCCGAGCCACAGAAAGCAAGTACTAAACCAAGAAATCAGTAAAAGCGCCAAATGAATTAGAAAAAAATGCTTTCTGACAAGCTACATGTGTACTATGATGTTGCAAAATTTAGGCTTGAGACATACTTTGTAACTTGTGAAACAGCTCGAATTGTGTATTTCCCTTTTTTCCCAACAATCACACTGTTTAAAAGCGAAATGGATTTTTTAATATGAAATAAATGTATATGAAAATGTTAAATTTGTATATATGTGCTGCCTTTACGTGCTTTTTAATGCATAGCATAACGGTTGTACTTTAAACCCCGTTGTTTTATATTTGATACCGTGTGGAATGATGACTTTATATCAGTAATTGGGTGATTATAGTAAAATTATTCTTAATATGCTTACAATGGTAAATAATTGTTGATTTAAGCAGTACTTTCATTAAGTGTTTTCTATGCATGGCTGGTATATATTAACCTTTTGGGCTAATGTATGAAAGGCTGTGTCTGGTTTCTGATGTAGTGGCAAAGGTCATACATTATACAGCCTGACAAGAGACAACAGTCCCATTTGTGTAAGTTTAATTTTTTTATTCCCTGGTGAAGAAAACATTGTAATTGAAAGAGATAAGTTAGACACAGACTTGTGAAATTTTTATGCTCAGCATATGTAAAAAGCAATACACCCAGTGTCTGGAAATATATTTGTCATACTTGTAATTCAAGTTTCATTATTGGCAATAACTCTAGTTAACTTGAGTGTTATAGAGCTGCTTTCAGAAAACTCAGATATTATGTTGCTTTTAAACAATTATTAAACAATTAAATAGTTTCAAAACACTTTCACTTGCTAAACATTTGCAACAAAAGAAACACTTTAATTCTGGTGCACATTTAATACTTTTTTTTGAGGTGACCAGTATCCAGTTACTTTAGGACTCTCCTGACAAAACTATTATGAAACATTTTTACTGACCCTCTAAAAACCTTCATCTTTACTTTTGAAGTCAGAACTGGTAGCCTATTACTCAGGCTGTTTTCAGACATTGGAACTGCAATAGTCTATCAAAGAGTAGACTTCAGAGAGAAAACATTTGTTTGCAGGGAAATAAATGTGCTAGGAGGATGTTTTGTCACAATCCCTAAGGATCTTTCATATTTTTCACAACCATGAATCTTCCTATAGTTTCGACCTCTGATTTCAAACTTCCCCCTGAGCACCTGAGAACACACATTACACACAGTTTTGTCTAAGTGTAGTTTTGTTTATTTATTCTTTTCTTTTAAGTTGTTTTGCATATGAAATGAATTGCATCAGTAAAGTGAACTGTGTCTTTCCTTCCTGTACAGTTACACAAATTGAGCACCTGATTGCAACAGAAAGTCTTTGTATTTAATTGTTACTGTTCAGAGGAAATTATTTCAGTACAACCAGAACATTGATACGAATTACAGTATAACAGAAAATAATTGTGAATTGTGTTTTTGTGACTTTGCAACCTACATACTAGTTTCACATAAAACATTTAAACTAAAGGTTAAATTAAATTAATTAAAGTAAGTCAAGAAAATGCAGAAATTAAAATGTTTTTTTTAAATCAACTTTGGTCTGGCGCCTTTGGTACTTACTCAGCTATCTATTTTGATCATCTCAATCATGTTGTGTGTAGTTAATTGAAGCATTGTGTTTAAGAATTGTATGTTACTCACAGAAAAACACTGAATTTGAATAATTAATGGAAACACCCGAGAAGAATTACACCATATAATTCAATATAGTATCACCTGAGTGCCCTTAAATTTGTTTTCTTCTTGCTTTTTTATAACAAAATCATATGTTCAACATCCTGCATATGATAAATTGTATTGGTGTGGCACCAGCCAGCATACCTTTAGAAAAAGTATCAAAAATATGTTGATTCCTCCCCAGAATCATCAGTTGTTTGAAGTAGACAAATGGTTTCTCAAACACTACAAAGCACCCCTTGCATGTGGAAAAAGAAACAAACCTGGTAACAATCTAAAACACTCTGCCTCAAACTGTCATCATGTTAAATGTGATTTGTGTTCTCAAACAAACTTGGTGGCATTTTTCAAATCCATCTCACATCCAGTTAAACATTTTATAATGACTGTCTGCATATGCCTTGGTGAAGGGATTTTTAAGAAGAGAATTTTTCATTACTGATACTTGATGTTGCTATTTTACTTGAA